GAATGTTTTTCTATCTTTGTGTATATGCAGTGATGATTAGTGAATAAGAAACATTATCATGAAAGGAATAATAAACATATACAAGCACATGGGCACTGTATATTAAGACCTTGAGGCATGCATAGTGTATCATAAACAATATTAAGACATAGGGTAATGAGCTCTGTCCTTTGTGTGATGTTCTGATTACTCAAACCTTGACTAAGAATGAGACTAGTAAATGACGTATGTGCCTGTGGCTTATTTTTCCATGTTTTAAAAAATTTTAATTGGATTGGCAACTGGAAAGTTCATGTTGTCTTCTCTGTGTCTTAGGCTTATGTTCAGAGATACATGATATTCTCCTCAAAATGAAAATAAGTTTTTAAAAAGCTGGGCTTGGTGGTGCACGCCTATAATCCCAGCACTCTGGAGATTGAGGCAGAAAGATCACTGTGAGTTTGAGGCCAGCCTGGGCTACAAAGTGAGTTCAAGGCCCGCACAAACTATATAGTGAAACCCTGCCTCAAACTCCACCCCGCAAAAGAAAATAGTTTTTTTAAAATAGGGCCAGGGGTTTAGCTCCGCGGCATTAGTGCCTGCTTGGCAATCGTGAGGTCATGAGTTCAATCCCTAGTACCAAGAAAAAAAAGTATAAATAATATATGCTTATGTAAAGAATTTGAATAATACATAAATACATTGAAAAAGTAAAGATGACAGACTTCCACTGTCTTCCAAATGCATTTAAATTTCTGAAAACTTTTTTATAAATGTGCCTGTTAATATGCTTATGTATGTGTCCTCTCAAATAATTTTATATAATTGAGATTATATGGGGCTGAGGATTTAGTTCAGTGGTGTAAACGCCTGCCTTGCAAGTGCTCAGTGAAGAGTTCGATCCCCAGTACTGATTAAAAAAAAAGAGAGAGATAATATCACACATGATATTCTTTTTTTTTTTTTTTTTTTTGGTCTTTTTCCTTTTTATTAATACCACAGATTGAACTCAAGACTGCCTGCTTGCAAGCCAGGCGCTTATGCCGCTAACCTAAATCCCCAGCCCCAACACGTGATATTCTTTTTTTTTTTTGTCTTTTTTTCATTTTTATCGGTACTGGGGATCGAACTCACAACTGCCTGCTTGCAAGTCAGGCGCTTATGCTGCTAACCTAAATCCCCAGTCCCTGACACATGATATTCTTAATGAAGGCTCTTCTCCCAGACTCTAGATTAAGCCACATTAATGACCCAGTATATCCTCCTCCTCTATATAACTCACACTAACTCTGTATAAACCTGTATATATACACCTGGAAGTTTTATGTTTATTTTACAAAAAATGGAATCAAGTTTATGCTTTATGCATCTTGCTTCATTTGTTCAACAATATCTCATCAAAATCCCTCCAGGTCATCTCCCTCAATTCTAACTCAATTTAAAGGAAAATTGGGGCTGGGGATTTAGCTCAGCGGCATAAGCACCTGCCTTACAAGCAGGCGGTTGTGAGTTTGATCCCTGGTATCGATAAAAATGAAAAAAAAAGACAAAAAAAAATTTAAAGGAAAATTGCTTCTGATGGTGTCTGTGTGTGTATATCCTAATTTCTTTATCCATCTATGAGGCTTTCTTTAATATAGTTTAAATGTATGAAGCTGAGAAGATCTTATAAAATCATACTTAGTTTTTAGGTCTTTATAAAGGAGTTTCTGTTCTGTCTTTTGTCCTAGTCAGTGTAAATTATATCTAGACTATCTCATTTTAGGGAAATGATGGAAACCATGGTTACATTGGGTACTAAGTTTGCTTTTCCCTTCTAGTTTACAATTAATGTGAGTACGGACATGCGGCATCATCGAGTGAGGCTGGTGTTCCAAGATTCTCCTGTCCGTGGTGGGCGGAACCTGCGCAGTGAACAGGGTGTGCAAGTCATTCTGGACCCAGTGCACAGTGTTCGGCTCTTTGACTGGTGGCATCCGCAGTATCCATTTTCCCTGAGAGCATAGTTACTGCTTCCCATCCCTTGGGGCAGCTCTGAGTCTAGTCCATTAGTAATCAGATTCCAGTTTGGAGAGGGCAGCTGGATTGTATATCTGATTAGTAATGCACACGCTCTTTGGATTCCTGGGGCTCCTATTATGAGAAAGAGAAGGGTTCAATCAAGAGGAAAACAACTATGATTTATAAACATATTTTAATGTTAAAATTTGCATTTGAAAGATAAACCTGGCCCTGTTTTCTGTGTTAAAACCTAGTTTGGTGCTATTGAGTTTGGTTTTTTCTTTTTCGCCTGCCTTTTTTCCCTCCCTTCCCTTTCTCTCCCTCCCTCCCTTCCTTCCTTCCTTCCTTTTCTCTTTTTCTTTTCTTTTCTTCTAAGTTTTGTTTCTTTATTCTTTTGTACCAGTGGAAACAATGGATGATCTTGCTCTAGGGAAAAATTACACTCAAATCTTCATGTAAGGAAATTTCCCTCTATGAATCAGAGGAACCCCAAGGCCTAAAATCGTTGCTACTGTTGCTTCCAATGTAGCTGTCCCTCAACTGAGTGAATATTTTCTCTTCTTCCTTTAGCTATCTCCAGAAATAAAGCAGGTGACAGGGTTCTCAGAATCTTACAAGACTGACTTGTGTATCTTTTCTTAAAAATAATTTTTGGATATTTGTGGCATAAATATTTTGCCAGTTTTGGATTTTAGAGTTTTTTTTTTCATGAGGCTGATAATGACTGGGTCCTTAGTACTGACCTGGGAACTATAGTCTCAAAAGGTAGGTGAAACTATTTCCATTTTATGGTGGAGAAGCTCAGTTAATGGCTTACCCAAGGCCGTAACAGCCTGTGGACATAGAGCTAGGACTCTGACCCAGGTCTTTTTTGCTATCCATAATTTAAAAGCCCAGACCCATTTTTCTCATGGGAGATGGTAGTGAATGGGAATATGCAGAGTGCAATAGTCCAAAAAGCAAAACGTAAAACAACGAGTAAAAATTGATTATGGTGTCCTTAAGTCCTGACCAGCCTGAAAAGTATGTAAGAATGGTGAAAGAAGGTGTGTATTTTATTGAGTAAAATTTAAATAAACCAAGAAAGGTACTTCAGGAGGATAGTGGCATTTTTATGGAATTGTTAGACATTTATCATGCTAAAGATCATCTCAGAAATGCGTGGCATGTTGGAAACAGCTTCCGGAAGCATGGGCATGCTGGCTTTGCTCTGCTCTGCCCTGCACTAGGCTGCCTCCCCTGTTGTCTTCGTGCCTGCAGGAGCCTGGCCTTTGGTCCATGCAGAAATGCTGCTGTCTCTGTTTCCAAAGGACTTTCCTAGCAGTGTATGCTGAGAAGAGGGCCATGGGTGGAATTTTTGTTTTTTGCTTAAGCAGATAACCTTTTTGTGCTCACACCAGCCCCACCTCTCACCCCTGCCCAAAATAATCAGTGAGCTGGATATTGTCAGGAATTGGGCATTAAAACAGTATTCTTTAAACATGAAAGCTTGGTTGTGGGCAGGGATTATTGGGAGCCAAACTGCTAAATTAGTATATTGTTTTTCCTTACCATCCTCCCCACCCCCTGCTATTTAAAGAACATTCTTAGGAAGCATCTGCTTATTTCTGTGGCTAACAGCTAGCCTTACCCCACACTGAGGGTGGTGCTAAAGCTCTTCACACGCAGTGTGAGCCTGGGTCAGTGAAAAACAGAATTCAGGCATTTAAAGAATAAAAGCTGACAACCTAAGGACCCAACACATTTCACAGATCTTTGCAATAAAAAGTTGCCTCTTTGCAGCAGAAGGAAAGAAGAGTGGAGTCTCTGTTTTCATGAACTGAAGATGCCATGGACAGGAGGAAGTTGTCTGGGTGGAACATAGTCCCTCCAAGTTAGGAGTTACTTTAAAGTGGGGAGGGGTGGCTTGAAATAAATTGGGCTTAATAACTGTGTTCTGATTCAACTTACAAGTTTTGGTGACAACTCCATGTTGTGATAGTTAGAGGTAATGTTGGATATTGCGTCTGCTATTCTTTCTTAATGACACATTGGGAAAGGTGTATCATTAGTGTTATCCATGCTTCAGTCTTCTCAGGCATTGGGCCGAATTATCTTTCCTAGCATGATTTCCTTTTGGTAACTCCACACCACCTGGAGAAGAGTTGGAGCTTTCTGGACTTCAGGTTGAAAACTCTTTAATAGTTTTTACTTCTTTAAATAGATACATGATTTTTAAGGGCAAACAAAATATTACAAATTTAGCGTTAGTCCACTCCCCCAAAGTAAATCAGAATTCCTGGCAAATATTGGAGGAAAAAATAATAAATGGTTCTTTGTGTCATTGATCTCAACTGTAGCCTTTGCTGCTGATAGAGAACACACACACGCACACATATATTCATGCATATGTGAACATTGTATGTGTATAAAAATTCTTCACACTTCAGAGCACTTACTGGCTATTCGTAAAGGACTGAGGAGGCACTGCGATGAAACGTCACCAACCAGATGGGCAGGATGCATTAATAGCCACAGAGGGACAGAGTGAGGAGCAATTCAGGAGGGTTTTAGACACAGTTTGTCAGTCAGGAGTTTTGGCATCTGAGTCTGTTTTCATTCCATCTATATATAACAGACACTAAACTGCATTTTATAGTAACAGCTTTAGAACTGTCCGATGCTTGCAAGCAAGTGACACAATTCACTGAAGAGCATACTACCCAGTGTATCTGGCTTCAAGTTTCTTAAGTTACAAAAGTGCGTGGCAGAAAGATAAGGTGACAAGCTGGTGGCCAATTGAGAGAACAAGTGGTTACACTAGGGACAGGGTGTGTCCTGCGCTCCCGACCCTCGACGAGATCTTGAGCCTGCCAGGTAAGGTCTTGGCACTCAGTAACTTGCACAGCCAAACCAAGATGGCGCACAGCATCAAAGCTGCTCCCTCGTCACGTGCCAGTGCCCGGGGGCAGGAGGCGGGGCCTCAGGAGAGGTGGCCAGGTCCCGCCCTCGGGGGCGGGGCCAGGCTGTCTGCGGAGGAAGGGGGCGGGGCCTTGAGGCCGGGCGCTAGGGCGGCGGAGGTTTCGGCTGCCTCGGCTGGCGTTCGGCTCTCTAGGACCTGTCGCACTGCTCGGGTCGGGGGCAGCTCCCTGTTGTCTCCGAGCAGAGCTGCTTGCTGCTGGGCCTTCAGCGACTGCAAGCAGGTGAGCATTCAGAGGCCGACCTGGGGGAAGATGCCTCTTTTCCCCAGCTCTAGCGCCCTGCACAGTTTGGGGAGGGTCTCTGTCTATCGCGCCTTAAGAGACATTCTCATTTTATTCTGTGTTTCTGGCCGTGTTTAGACACTGCTAGCTCCCTGCCCCTCGCCAGCCTTGCAGTGCCCTGTGCCCTTGGGGATGAAAGTGAGGGTGATGCCCGATTTGCAGGGAGGGCATGGAGTTCGCTCTCAGCTCCTTCGGCTTCGCGGGAGGGGGTGATCTGGCTCGTCTCCTGGTGGGAACTGGGTGTACTGCGCCCCCGTTTCCCCCAAGACGAGTCAGAAGAAAAAGCTCCTCTGGCTCACTCTAGGACCGACTCTACTCCTTTGGGCAAGCGCTACTGAGGTGTTGAGGTGTGTGTGGTTTCTAGGGGTCTTAACCCTTCCTGCTTGCTACATTACACCCCTTGTTACTGCCTCCTGTTAGCTCTTTATTCCTGGAACTCCCAGCTTAAGTCTGTGCCAGAGATGTCCCTATCTCCGCAGTGCCAGGGCGGTGGGGTGGAAGGAGCGGCCACTGGAGGCCTGGTGGGGGTGGGGATAAGGGTGGGCACAACAGGAAAAGACAGCTGGAATGGAGAGATTCCTAACTGGGAGGGTGAGAAAGGGGAGCTGACTTTTGGTCATGCAGTAGGGAATGGTTTCCAGTAGAGATCTTGAGGTTCCAATGGTGGGTAGGCAGAGAGGTCGGGCTGGAGGACTTGGAAATGTGGTGTGGGTGGTTTTCTCTGAGAAGGAGGAGTGATCCAGGACAAAGTGGCACTAGATGCTGATGTCACCTTTGAGAGAGATGTACTGGTAGTATTCCTTAGGAAGGTAGGAGACTTGAAGCTCTATGAGGAAAGCAAGAGCTTAAGGAGGAGGTTTTGGGTAGCAAGGAGATCCTTTCCTGGTGTGACTGAAGGGGCTCCCCTCCCCCCCCAGGAGCTCGTTTTTGAGGTCCTGCAGCTCTTTCCAGAGTTGTTAGAGTTGATTCACTTAGTACTGTGTTCAACATCCACCCAGCATTTATTGGGTCCCTACTCTTTTCCAGAGACCGTGATGCATGCTTGGTCTTCTGAAGGTAAGTTAGGGTCAAGAAACTGTTGGAAGATACCCTTAGTAGGCACACATAAGAGGCACTCTGTTAACATTCTCTCCACCTACACACAAATTAGTGACATTGCTACTGGATTAGCAAAAGAAAGTTTTAACTTGATTCTAGCCCATGTAGTGCCTACCACTGACTGACTAACCACGTAGTCCCCAGGAAGCTTGCCTTAGCAAAATGACAGTCTGAATGATTTCTCTTGGTTATTTCCTGATTGTGTCCTGAGGAGGACAGCAGTGGTAGCTCAGGGTAATGAGGGGATGGATCGCACAGTGATTATTGGGGCTCAAGAATGCACTGGACACAGAGGGAGACACCATCTCTGGAAGATGAAGGAGTATGGGGGCAGGGCATGGGAGGGAGCTTCATCCTGTGGGCTTTGGGGCTGTGCTGCCGAGCCAGTCATGATGTCATGTGTGAGGCCTGGCTGCTGGGTTGTAGAGAAGGGACTGATTGGAGGGGCAGGGCAAGGCAGGGCAGGCTGGGTCTCCTTAGATTTAGGAAGAGTTATCAGGGATCGCTGGGGGTCCTTTCTGATCATCCAAAACTAGCAGAGCTGGAGCTGGGGACAAGATGAGTATGGAGCTGTGGTGGCAATGAGTCAGAGTGAAGACTGGGAGTGGGGATCATTCTAAGATGCAGGGTAGGGCTGGGGTTGTAGCTCAGTGGTAGATGCTTTGTCTAGCCTGTCTTCTTCAATCCTCAGTGCTGAAAAACAAAACACAAAACCACAAGTAAATAAATACCACCACCACGCACACAGAGATGCACAAAACCTTCAAACAAGATGTGAGCAACTAATTGTGGCCTTCTTATGCCAGGATACTCTCCCTGGAGCCCTAGGCTCTATTATGTTGAGTACAAGGTGTGGTGGCCAAGTGGGTACGTGCGTGCAAGAGTGCGTGCATGCAAGCGTGTGTGCATGAGGCGGGGTGTGCCAAGGGGAGGAGTTACTGAGGAGCAGGCAAGATTAAAACAATGCAAGCTGCTCCAGAGTCTGGGTCCCAGGTAGGGAATTAGGAGAAATGGAGGGGAAGGAGTGGGGTCAGGGGAAAGACTAAGTGTGTATTGCAGTCACACAAAGACACCATCTGTGCCCTCTTTGGCCTGCTAGCTCACTGACCTATAATTAGCTCTAGAGCCTACTGTGCTGGCTCACAGGAGTGTGGCTTTTCGGGTGGCCAGCAGGATAAAAGGACTCAGATGGGCCATGATGCTATGCTGAGCAACACATGCCCACCACCGTGGCCTCTGAGTACTGCATTCCAGAAAAGGTTGCTTCTAGGTGACTGTCAGCATTTGTTGTTCGGGAGGGGACCTGAGGGAATTGAGAATGTCACTGGGGTGGGCTGGTGGGAGAAATAGCAGCAGGACAAGGAGCTCCAAGCAAGGCTGGTATGAGACTCAGGATAGTCAGAGCCTGAGGACCCCTCTGTTGTCCTTACCTGGTGGCTGCTAGCTGTACACGCGTGACTGCTACCCAGAGACCTTGAGTGCTGCAGGCCTGAGACTTCCTGCAGGTGTCTTTTGTCTCTCTAGAAGTCAGCTGTAGCACAGCTCTGCTTTTCCCATGGGGACTGAGAAGCCTTGACTGGAGCATCTTCATTCTGAGGGTACTGGAGGAGAAACTGCTCCCAGTTAATTCAATTGGTCATACTCCAACTGACGCTTGGTACTGACCCACCAGGCAGGGCTGGAGACTCAAGAATTGGTTACATGCTATTCTGTATTACTTTTGAACAACTGCATGTGTGTCTGTGTTCTCTCAAGTCACCTGTGAACTTCCTGAAGGTTGAAACGTGTCTCTTGTATGTCTTGTGTATCTGTAACAGTACTGGGTTGGTGGAAATCACTCAGTGAGTGAGTGTTCGATTGAATTGAAGAGGTTCTGGTCCCCTGAGTTCCTTGAAGCAGGACGTCCTTGCAACTAGAAATATTTACCCTGAAGCATAGAAGCCTCTGTAGACCCAGTCCACAGATTCTGTCTGTGGTAGTAAACAAAGTGAAAATTCCTCAATCCCTCACAAAACATGATCTCTGGCTTTAGGTTTATAACCGTAAACAATACTATGAATGCATAAATTATGTACATTCTTTGTATAAATATACAAACATGTAATGCATATATCAGCAGGCAGTCGTGAGTTTGATCCCTGGTACCGATAAAAATGAGAAAGACAAAAAAAAAAAAAATAGCATGTCCTATGTAGTTTTGTAGTTAAGTGTCAGATGAAATTGCTGGTTTTTTGTTGCTTCTTTTGCTTAGCTAGAAGATTGAATTCTTGTAAATTAAATGTATATCTGAAAAACTTCCTTCGAGTGATCAAACTTTCCTCATTTCGTTGTGAGTTCTTTGCCTAAAGGGCAAAGGGAACTTTGTGCTGGGCTGTTGGATGGGTGGGCAGATGGGGAAGGGACCGTGTAGTCCCAGGTAGTGGTTGGCTGGGGGTGGTGGCTGGATGATGAAGTCCTTGGAAGCTGCTTCGGAAGAGAGCTCTCCCTTGTTTGGCTAAGAGAAGCACTGCTGAGAGTAGAGGCCTGGGAGGGAGGCCAGGCCCAAGGGTTGGCCTGCAATGTTCTAAGAGCGTAGGAATTCTGAGAGATGCAGGAGCGACTCCTGCTATTTCTCAATTTCTCATAGGCAAGGTGCCTTGGGCCTGGGAGATCCTGTAGAGAGAGAGAGAGAGAGAGAGAGAGAGAGAGAGAGAGAGAGAGAGAAAGTGTGTGTGTGTGTGTGTGTGTGTGTGTGTGTGTGTGTGTGTGTGTGTGTGCCGGGCTCAGTTCCATGATCTCCACTCACACCACATCAGCTGTGGAGTGCCTGAAAGTTTTGGCCCTATCTAGGGCAGAGCACCCCATCCCCTTTCATCCTCATACTCCGCCCCCACCAGGCATTCCTGCTCGGACTCAAGACCATCAGTTCACTTGCATGGTCACCACGGCTACATGCACACGCTCTCATGGGCCTCCTGGGCACTTCGGAGCACATATGATTTCATAACTCCCAGATGCATGTGCACACACTCACTTTCACAAACATGCACACTCACATGCATCTTCACGTACACAGTCATATGCAGTTATGAGCCCTCATACAGAATTACCAACACACACATCACACTTTTCACCTCTGCATACGCCCACTCACTTTCAAGCACACACACAGGACTCTGTTTTCACAACCACACTCTACACACAACCTCTGTCCCTCTTCCACAGCCACACACACACATAGATTCTCGTGACTGCACACTTAGGTGACCCCCTACATTCTCTTTTTCACAAACACGCACTCTTGTGACCACATACATGTGTGCACTTTTTGTGATGCCTGCATTTCCCAGAGCACTTCTGTACTCTGACCTTTTCATGCCCTGGCACCTGGCAGCACTCTGGCCAGTACTATTTTCTCTTGCGTGCTCCCCAGTCTCATGGCTGATCTACTAACGCAGTGACTTCTAAGATTGTTTTTTGGCCATCAAAGGACCCTGTTTAATATTTGTCCCACACAGACTCCTGGTTTTGAAAGATTTTTATTCTCCAAATGTACCACACTTAGTACTTTGTTTTTCCTTTGGCCAGTGTTACTTGAGGCCATTAATTAGTTAATTGATTAGTAGAAGACGGCTTGGGATACTGTGCTCAGTAAGGTTAGTAAAAGCTGCTTGTTATGTTCAGTGGTGCCACCTTAGATGCTGGTTTGGATGAGTAGACTCTTCATGAGACAGCTGGATTGTGGAAAATGACTGGTGGGTCCTGGTATCACCTATCTGGCCTTCCCAAAAGAAAGCAAAAGGGGACACAAACTTAAGTATTTCTATAAAAAGTATTTAAGGGATTCTCTCTCTTTCTCTCTGTGTCTGTCTCTCTCTTTGTCTATCTGTCTCTCTGCTTCTCTCTCTCTCTCTCTCTCTCTCTCTCTCTCTCTCTCTCTCTCTCTCTCTCTCCTGCCAGCACTGGGGATTGAACTCAGGGTTTTTACACTGAGCTGCATCCATACATCTACGCCATCTCCAACCCTCTTAACCTTTTTTAAGGGTCTCTCTGTTAGCCTAACCTGGAATTTGAAGTTGGAATTCTCCTGCCTCAGCCTCCCAGAATGCTGGAGAGAATGCTGGAGTTTTTGTAAACTGAGAATCCTTTTATACTAACGAAACCTTAATCAGATGTCCTGTAAAACCAATAGATATGGAGTTTTTGTGATCAAGTTGATGAGACTAAGGAAAGAAGAGACCCGGTCCTTGAGACTTATTACACCATTTTCTCCTTCCTTTCGCCCAGTCAGCCCCTGAAGGAACTCTGTCATAAAGCTGAGTTTGTAATCTCTGAAGTTTAGAGGGAGCTGTGACAGCTGTAATTTATGTGTGACTGAAGAGGAATTATTTTGGAGGTACATAGAGGCTTGTAGCCATCCCTTTTCCACTAGTATCTGACATTAGTCTTCTTGGGGTAGCGATAGTTAGGGTGACCATACTGCCACATGTGTCCAGGACAGATGTGTGGTCCCAGGTGACTGTCAGCGTAACCACCTTTCAATCTCAGAGGGGCCAGGCTGGATAGTAGATTGTATACTCACCTAAGCGCAAGGCTGAACCTTGAGAAGAGGCAGCCCTCAACTCCAGGGCAGCTAGAGAGCTGTGCTTCACAGGCTCAGGCCCCCAGGAACCCTTCCTGTGCCCTCTGAGAAGGTGCCTGGTGTTACAGGACTGTGGGCTGTAGTTGGCAGCTGGTGCCAACCTGTGCCTGGCCTGCATGTGCTGCTTCTCAGAACTGCTTCTTGCTCTTGCTCTCTCTGTTGCGCCTCATGACGACCTGTGAGTTTGCTGGAGTGTGTTATGTGTTGCAGCCCTCATTTCCCGCCTCTGCAGGCTGCAGCTGGAAAGGCTGAGTCTCGCTGCTGGTCTTGAAGGAGGCCCCGAGGACTGGGTGCCTTTGTGGCTAGCTGGGAGGAACTCTAAATAGAATTTGTTTAAGATTTGACTCTCTGGGAATGGATTCCTGTAGCTAGATGGATTCTTTATTTTCTTGCTGCATTTAGAGTGGGCCCAGCCTTGAGGGCTGTGGAGCGGGCTTAGCCTTCAGCTGCTGTGAGTTAGCAGAAGGCATGTGTGTCCATCCACTGGGCACCAGTCCCAACACTTCTGCCTGGTAACGCTGCTTATCCTCCTGCCACCTATCTGAGGTGGGGGCTGTTGATCACTCCTGTTTCACAGAAGGGGAACCCAGAAAGTTTGAGTGTCTTCCCAGGGAGGAGCCTGGGTGTACACCCATGCGCCTGTGCCAGAATCTGTCTTTCAATACTGGAGTGGCCACCAGCTTGCTTCCAAGAAGATATAGCTTTTGGAGGGCGAGTTAAGTGACCCTGCTCCCAGGCCTGGAGCCAGGCCTTCCTATTTTGGAGTTCTGCTTTGAAGTCAGCTAGGGATGGACTTTCCAGAAATCACTCTCGATGTCACACATATGCACTCAGTTCCATTCAGGTTAGGATCTGTGTTGGAGCATCCAGAGCCAAGTAGGATGTGGTTCTTACTGCAGATGAGGTGATGTGAAGTAAGCCTAGTGCCAGAAAGAAGCGCACCCACAGGGCCGCCCTGAGTCAACGAAGGGCAAATTTTACTTATTGGAGGAAATCAGAAGAGGCTCCATGGGGGAAGTGGTGCCTGAGAGGAGCTTAGAATGGCGATCTGGGTTCACTGGAGAGACAGAGGAGATGAGGGTCAGGCAAAGTGATGTACAGAAGGCTGTGATCAGGAGTGAGCTCTGGGAGCAAGAGAGGGAGTGGGACTAGGGGTGGGGCAGGGGCTGAGTGGGGCTTTTGGAGGAGAGTTTGAGTGGAGATTGGGGTTCTTAGGGTGCTGAGCTGGACAGGGGAGGAAAAGAAGCATCTTTAGGGTGAGAGGAAAGGTGTGCAGCTAGGGGTATGGCGCGAGGAGGTGGGAGTGGGGGGTGTCTTCAGTGTGCCTGAGGGTAGCGTGTGAAAACCCACAGGAAGCCAGGAGCAGTGACCAGAAGGAAGTCCACCTCAGTCTCTGCCTGCAGGAATGTGGACAGGTATGGGGGACCCAGGGAGGCAGCTTGCACTTGGGGGAGGAGTGTAAGTACGGAGCTAGCCAGGAGCTGAGGGAGAGATGTGGGTGAGTGGTGGATGGGGTTATGGAGATAAGTTGCTGTTAGTGGAGAAGTGGCCAGTGGTGACCTTGATGGTTCTCAGCAGAAAGGCTGCCAGGCTTGAGGAGCAGAGGCAAAGCGAGCGCCAAGATGGCCTGTCCCCAGACTGCCATCACCTGGTGAGAGTGGAAAGGGCTAGAGCCCAGGTGCTTTGGTTCCTTGGAGGAGACGGGATGCCGGGATGCCGTCTTCACTTTTCCTCTTCCGCTACCCTCACCTCTCTTTGGAGGCAGATGGAAGACGTGAACACAGCTTCCTCTTTTACTAGCTGTGGAGATTTGCACAGTTCTCACGTCTGTGAATGGGGAGGGTTATATCCTCCTCCTAAGGAATCTTGAGGATTAAAATCAGTTTGTACCTTTCAGCTGACCATGCAGTCCTAGGCATGTGGTAAATATTGGTAAATGACAACAGCTACCCGAATCATTCTTGTTTTCCTGGACGGACCCCCCCCCCCCCATTTCTTCAGGCCCTAGCCTTCCTGTAGTTGAGAGCTGTATGACCCTCCCCTCTTTCCCTCAGCTCTGAAGAGGTTCCCACCTCAAGTTCCCTTTGTCCAGCTCATGGCCACTCAGATTTGAATGCAGTCCCCAGCGCTTTGGCCTAGCCCTGCAGCCTTGGCCTTGCTGAGCTGGCTCGCAGTGGTGGGGCTGGCCATCTGGTAGGACAGTGGGGAGCCAGGCCTGTGTGTGTATGACCAGCTGGAGCATCAGACCCAAGTATTCATCCTTCCTGTTTGTTAGGAAAAGATAGGGATGTCTTTGGGAAACCAAAGAGGCCTGTGAGTTCTCCTTTCTGTGTTTTAAAAACCAGAGGCCTACTTTTTCTCTGGCCCCTCCTTACACTGTCTCTCACACGCACCCACTCACTCTTGAGCCTCCTCCGCTGTTTCACAGTCCTCTGGGCAAAGCCCCTTGCAAATGCTTGCTGGAGGTGGGAAGGCTCACAGCTTTCACCTCTGAATCAGGACCTGGGAGTGTTACTTAGAGTTGTGCAGGGAGTCAAGGTGGCTTCTGCTAGGCTCAGATGATAATTATGCTATTTAAAGACACCCTGGGAGCCAGAAGGAACCAGGTGTCCCCCTGTGGCTGTCCTTGGGCTCCCGTCTGTTCACTGGCTTGTGTGGTGGACAGGGGCAGAGCAGGAGGTCCTAGGTGGTCATCTGTCTGGCCTCTCTGTCAGGGTGTATCTTCAACCAGTTCTCCATGCCATTTGGCCAGAAGGGGACTTACTACATGGCATTAGGTTTGGAGGCAGGCTGGGAAAGGCCTGGCAGCCCCAAAGCCAGCTGCTCCATTGCCAAAATGACCAGGAGGATTTGAAGAAGCCAAGTTGGATCACATGGCCAGCACCTTACCGAGGGCAGCCTGGTCTCCCCTCCTGAGAACTTTCCCAGGCCCTTTCCTATTGGGAGCTTTAAAAGCTGCATCCTCAGCCTGTTTTTGCCAACAAGAAGGGAAAATCATCCCTCCCCCACCATCAGAGGGTGCATTCTACTTTTCTGAGCTCTGCTCTTCCATGATCTCATCCCTGTAAGGCAGGCAAGGCCGGGGTTGTGGGTTCCAGCAAAGGTCTCAGTTGTGGTGATGAGTCCAAGGTGATCTGTCTGGTTTTGGCAGAACTGCAGCCCAGATCTAAGGCCCGGCTGTGGGCCTTTCCTTTGTGAGCACTGCGGACTGCCTGCAAATCTACTGGGCTGAGGTCATTTCCAGGTTCCTGGACTTTTGAGCACACTACAAGATCTCCACAGGGCTGCTCCTGCCACAAGGGGCCCTTCCTGGCCTGGTCTCCTCTTCTGGTCCTTCCCTTCTTTTTGATATGAGTGAGTGAGTGGAGGAATAGAAAGAATATAGGCCCAGTTCTTGATGAGTTTGGAGCATCCAGGGCAAAAGGGCCTGGGCACCACGGGTGAGCAAAGAGGAGGAAGCATGTTCTTAGCATCAGTGAGGTGGCTGCTCTAACCAGACTGGGGTGGCAGGCCCTTCTCTCCCCTCCAAGCTGCTCTATGGGGAGAGGAGATGGCAGGGGAGTGTGTGCTGCTCCGGCAGCAGCAGGAGCTGGGAGGAAGGTGGGGTGCAGACAGGGGCTCTGCCTTTCACCTTGGTAACTTTTCAGGGTCCTGACTCCATGATGGGTCACTAACTTGGCAGAGGGATCTTCATAATCAGAGCTTGTGTCCAGTTTCTGTGGCTGGGGGCATGTTCATGGCCACACGTATGTGCCCTAGGTCTCTTGTGTTCCTGTGTCTGCATCTGTGTGTGTGCGCACATGTGCTGGCTTGAGTCACAGGCCCCTCTGCAAATGTGAGTGTGAGCTCTGGAATCTCCCAACTGGAACTCTAGCTTTCATCTGATCCAGGCCCCACATTCCTCCCTGCCTCCTCCTTACTACCCTGTGCTGTTTAGAGCCTCAGGACTCTGGGGGAGGGGCTGAGGAATAAGAGGTGGGGGCCTCTTCTTCTGCTGGCCTCAGGCCTGCCACTGTGCTCCTCACCTTGAACTGGGTCCTTGAACTGTCCTGCCCAGCTTGTCCTCATTCCTGAGGTGGACAGTGGCTGCCCCTGTGTCTTGAGAGGGGAGAGGGAGAGGAAGGAAGGAAGGAAAGCTCCATTGTGGAGGTTTCCAGTACACTGCTGGGGGTGTCACACCCCTTCAGAGCTCTGCAGCAACAGGGAGCCCTGCTGGGAAACTAGCGGTGGGCTGGAAATTAGAAGCTGATGTGGGCAGAGAAATCCCGATGCTTTCTCCTTTTGCCTTCCTTGTTCTGATCACTGGGCCTCCCTGTGCCAGGCACCAGGCATCACTAGAGCCAGGCTGTGCACAAGTTGACCATGGTGGCTGGTGACTTCTGGCAGGGCTAGTGATGATGATTACCTGGAGAGAGAAGATGCCCAGCCATGAGCAGGTGGCCTCACTTCTGTCCCCCTTGATGGGTTTCAGAAGTGGGGAATGACTTCAACCAGTGCCTCCCCTTCGAATTATGGGCAACGTATCAGGTCAGAGTTGTCTGCCTGCCTCAGTGCCCAGCCCGTGCCCTTCCAGGGCCTTAGACATATGCTAGTGGTCAGGGCAGGAACTGCTCTGCCCCTCTTTCTGTGGCGCCCCACCAGGCGCCCCACCCACTAAGCCTTTTAATGCCCTCAGCACTTGCCTTGGCTTGAGTGTGCAGGTGAGGGGTGTAGGCACCCAGCGAGACTCTGTTTCCTCCCCTCTCACCCTCCGGTCTCAGCAGGACTCTGGGCAGCCAGCCGGCTGCTCCCCTAGCTGACTGAATCATTTCTATATTTGGCCAGCGAGCCACGTGGGTGGGGGAACCACTGCCGCTGCACCTCTGACAGCTGCGGGGGGCGGGGGCAGGGGCTGGGCAGTGGGCGTGTGCGTTCCTTGGGGGCGCTAAGGAGGCCGGGTGGGTGGGAGTGAATGGGCCGGAGAAGGGACTCGCGCCGCCGCCCCCCTCCCCATCCTCCTCTGTTCCGGCGCACTGTCGGCCTGCTTGGCCCCACCCCACCTCCTGCCCTTCTCCCTTCCCTTCACGGGTCCTCAGAGGCACTCTCTTCTTCCACAGACCACACCGCCCTCCGGAAACGATGGGTGTCGCTAGACCCAGCTGGGACTCCGCCAGGCTCCGGGGCTCAGTCTGAGGGCCTTCTCCGAGGCCTGCTCTCCTTGTCTGTCATGGCCACACTCCGATGCTGCCCGCCGGTCTGGGCACACAGGGCACCCAGTCCCAGCCCTGAGGGGTTAAGCCAGGCTTTCTGGCTCCATTCCATCGGGGAACTGCAGGCCCCAGGCTTCTTTCAGAGCAAGAGCAACTGATGGCATGGGAGAAGCCCCTGCCCGCCTGTGCACTCTCCTGGCACTGCCCACTCTGAGACCCATGCACAGGGTCCTCCTGCAGGTGCCAACCCCGTGAGTCCCTCCCCGTCCCCGAACGCTGAGAAGGCCCTGCCCACCCCCACCATGTGTGAGGTGATGCCCACAATCAATGAGGGGGACCCCCTGGGACCCCCGCATGGCGCCGATGCAGACGCCAACTTTGAGCAGCTTATGGTGAACATGTTGGATGAGCGGGAGAAGTTGCTGGAGTCGCTTCGGGAGAGTCAGGAAACCTTGGCAGCCACGCAGAGCCGGCTCCAGGACGCCCTGCATGAGCGGGACCAGCTCCAGCGCCACCTTAACTCCGCCCTCCCCCAGGTAAGGCGCCTCCTTCAGCCCCTCCCCTCAGCCTCTGTTGGGCCCTCAGCTCATCTGCATATATTATTTGCATATAAATACGGGAACTCACGTTTATGCTCCATCTTCCTGCGTAAATCATTCCCTGTTACCCTCCAAGCTCCTCAGCCTGGAATTGGCTTAGCTTGGTAAAACATGGGCGCTGAGCTTTGAAGCAGGAGGAAAATCCAGTTGTATTTTCCAACTGCCAGTGATGCCAGACTGCCAGTAGGTGGCACACTAGACCAGAAAGAAATCAGTTCTGCCCGCTCCCCATCCCAGGCCCTGGTTTTTTTTTTTTTTTTGTTGTTTGTCTTTTTTGTTTTTTATCGCTACCAGGGATCGAACTCACGACTGCCTCCTTGCAAGGCAGGCGCTTATGCCGCTGAGCTAAATCCCCAGCCCCTAAGGCCCTGTTCTTGGAGGTGGTGGATGGGGTAGGGAAAAATAACGGAAGGCGGAAGTGAGAGGTCCTTAGAAATTATCTGGTCCATCTTCCCTGTCTCACAAATGAAAAGCAAGAGCACATGTCAATTACAGGCAGAAGCAAGGTATCTTAACTCCCTCTTTCTTGCTCCTCAATGGCTCTGCTACTGTGAGGTAGAAAACTGCATGTTTTCTACGGACTGAGCGCTCTGTGTGGATTATCTTCCCAAATTCCCACAGCGAGGAAGTTGGTAGCATTATCACTATCTATCATCTTGTTTTAAAATCAAGAAAGTAAAGTTTGGGGAGACCAGTCAGTTGCTTGTGACTGCATTTGGTAGGTGGTTGAAAGAGAGTTGAACTCTGAAGAGCAGCATCTTGCCCCCCAATATATTTGACCACGTTGGCCCAGGAAGCAGGCAGATGTTGCTTCTTCTGTATCCCCTTTGGCAGATATGTCAGGCAAAATGTGTGCTCTGAGGATGGAGAATGGAGCAGGAGTTTGAGTTCTTCTAGTGCTTGTGAGAGAAGGTGTGAGCCCTGCCTGGTTAGTGAGGCCCTGGGTAGGGTGTGGATAGTCTGTCTGTAAGCACAGGGCTCAGAGTGACCGCCTGGACTTAGGAGAAAGATGAGCACTAACCCCAGGCACTGGCCACCTGCATGGCCCACCCTGAGTTGATGAGGGTGCTAGGATCGGGGAGCACCTGAGGAGTAATGGGAGATCCAAGGATGGGCCTTTGTGGGTGATGAGGGAGGAGTCATGTGAGGCCTTCTCAATAGGAATATGGAGCCTTTATGAAAAGTGGGGATGGGCAGATGGACCCCATCTGCCTCTCTTCGAACACCCCCTGAATGTGCCCCTGGGATGATTGAGTTCCAAGGAGCTCAGAGACCAGGAAGGAGACTCAGGACCCAGATGACTAAGGGAGAATGCAGAAGATAAGAGGTGCAAAGGGTGCTTAACACAGCAGCACTGATAAAAAATAGCTGTTTGACAGGTGCCTGCTAAGTGCTTTCTGTACTTTGGGATCATTTAATCCTTACAGCAGTGCCTAGAGAGAGTCTGTGTTACAGGTCAGAGAACTGACTTCAGAGAGGCTAGGTAATTTGTTCAAAATCAGGTACCTAACAAGGATGATTCCAGATCTTCATGGAAGCTTCACAAGGGCAGAGATTGTATCTTTCTTGTCATTATATCCTTGGTCACCAGTACAGTACCTGATACTCATACATACTTGTGGTTGAATGGCAGACTCAAACTGGTTTCAAATTTCCTTTCTTCCTTCCTTTCTTCCTACCTACATCCCTTCCTTCCTTCCTTCCTTGCTTCCTTCTTTCCTTCCTTTCTCTTTTTCTTTTTGAGACAGGGTCTCGTTATGCACTTCAGGCTGCCCTTGAACTCACTGTAGTCCAGGCTGGCCTAGAACTCTCGGCAGTCCTCCTGCTTCAACCTCCCAAGTGCTGAGATTACAGGTGTGGCCCACCACACCTGGCCTGAATTGGATTTCAAGGGAAGAAGGGAGGCTTCCACGGGGGAGTCTAGGAAGGTCCCTAGGAGGCTGGCCTGTTGGTGATGTGCTTTGGGAGGAATCTGCTCCATTCAGGTAGCAGAGAGGGTTGGGCTCTGCAAAGAGAGAGAGCCCACCCTGATTGGGAAGGCTTGCTGGTGTTTGCAAATAGGCAAGTGACCCAGGTCAGCTGGGTCTTCGAGTGGAAAGGAGCCATGAGACAGAAATTTCAAAATGAGGGTGAGAAATGCAAAGTGTGATTGAAAAGCACAGTACATGTTTAAATTTTTTTTAGAAAAATTATCTCAGAAAAAGACACATTGTCATTAACCGCCCCCCCCCCCAAATACTTTTCCTCATTTTAAGCCCTGCCTTTCTGTTGGATGCACTCAGCAGCCGCGTTCACTGAATTTTGGTCACATCTTACAAGGATGTGATCCTCATGAAAGAGGACTGCCAGAACTGTTTCGGGAAGTGGCAGGAATGATGGGATAAGTATGCTCAAAGTGAGGGGCAGGATTTTGAGGAGGAGGGATTAATAGCAACGTGGGGTTGTTTTTCTGTAATAATTTTTAAAAAATGTAACATTCACTGTGTGTTTTGATTGTACCACATGTGTGTTTAATTTTGTGGAGAGCGTTGTAAATTGGGAGGTCAGCAGTCTGTCAGATGGGTTGGAGCTGGGGAAGAAGAGGCCAGGCATCCTGAGGTGGAAAGACCAAGCTGCTCCTGGGGCTGAGGTGGGAGGGTGCGGTAATCACAGCCCTTTGTGTCATGGTATAGGACTGGGAACAGGCTGAGTCCCATCTCTGGGTACAAGTATACATGCTTGTGTGTGAGTAAGCATGTGAGTTTGTGTATGTGTGCGCACACATGTGTATGAAAGTGTGACTGTGTATGTCTGTGTGTGAGCTGAGGCTTCAGGACCAGATTTCTGCTTCCAGGGTGTGAAATGCTGGACTTCAGCTCCTTTGGTCTTGGCTTTGATAGAAGGACAGTAATCCGGGAATGAGGCCAGAGGTTCTTGGTTCCTTTTGCTCTGGCTTCTCTGGTCCTTTATCCCTTCACACAATCCCTGTTTCCTCTTATGTGGTCCAGAGTGATAAAGAAGGCTGCTTTGAGAATTCATCCTCCGGTGATGGACTTCGGGTGTACAAGGAGAGCTGTAGTGAGGAGCAGGGCTGCAGCTTCTGTTCGGTCTCTCTTAGACCTTGACAACCAGAGCTTGGGTCATATATCTGAGAACCTTCCTAGAATTTGGCAAGGGCTATTAAATAGATAAGAGGCTGTGGGCCAGCTCCTCACCCCTACACACTGGTGCTGACAGAAGACAGTGGTTGGAAGTCTCTGAAAGGGTCTGGGCCTACCAGTATGAATGGGTTCCCCTGGAAGAGATACTTGGTACCCAGATATTTAGAAAAGCCAACGTTAGTGCTGTGGCATCAGAAAAGAGCTCCCATGAAGCCAGAGCTAAATCTGCACGGTGAGCTGGTTCTCCAGGTTCACTTGCTCCGTTGTGTGTGTGTTTCATCTGTTCCCTTATTTTACCAGCCACCTGCAGCTTGCAGAGCCTGGGAAAGGGGTAGAAGAGAGCTCCCTGGGGCTGACTCCGATGTAAGCTTTAGCACACCCTTCCATCCCATCTCCATTACCTATGTGCTTCAGTGTGACCCTCACTGCCAAACTAGCCTTACCCACCACTGGTTTCTACAGGGCAAGGCCATTGAAATGAAAAGGCTGCGTGGGGGCTGGCGAGGGTGGGGCTGTGGGGCAGACTCAGTGACTCGATCACTCCTGGGTGAGAGCCGATTCTGGGAGGATCCTGACATGAATTTGGACTGCACAGTGGACTCATGGACCCCCTGGGGAAGCTCACACTAACAGTTGGATTTGTTGCCCTGCAGTGCAATGGGCTGAGAATCTCTAGGGGCAAGTAGGGGTCAGGGGTGGGTGAGAGGAGTCCCCCATGGACTCAAGCATGCAGGGTGCTGCTTAGGGTGCATATCACCAAGCACTGAGAGGCCCTGGGGGTTTTCAGGAATTTGCCACATTAAACCGGGAGCTGAGCATGTGTCGTGAACAGCTTCTAGAGCGGGAGGAAGAGATATCAGAGCTGAAAGCAGAACGGAACAACACAAGGGTAAGTGGGGCTGACCTGTGTGTGTGTGTGTGTGTGTGTGTGTGTGTGTGTGTGTGTGTGCATGTCCACCAAGAAGTAGGCAAAGCCAGGCTGGGCACAGCCTCAGACCTATCCTGACCGCTTCTGCCTCACATCCTGGGTTACAGTTACCATAGTGCTCAGCATTTCTCCTGTAGTTCTATGTCAGGTTTCTGGAGGAGAGGGCAGGGCAGCTGAGTTGGGTGGGTTTTGAATTTGGGGGCAGTGATTTACCACATGGAAGAATTTCAACATCATAACACTAGGATGGCTAGCTGTACTTATGTCTGCTGGGTGATCTGATGGCCCTGCTTGCGTGTGGCCCCAGAGGTGCATACTCATAGCTGTCCCTCCTGCTCTCCTCTGCTCTTTGCCAGCTGCTTCTGGAACATCTGGAGTGCCTAGTGTCCCGCCACGAGCGGTCCCTGCGGATGACTGTGGTGAAACGCCAGGCCCAGTCACCTTCGGGGGTCTCCAGTGAAGTGGAGGTGCTAAAGGCCCTCAAGTCCCTGTTTGAGCACCACAAGGCCCTGGATGAGAAGGTACCCACCTGGCTCTGCTCTCTTCTGAAGCCTTCTGTGTTCCTTTTCTGCATAAATTATTTAGGAAAATCTGTCTTCTAGCTTCAGGATTGGCTCCATCCTTCCATTGGCCTAATTCCATGTCCTCCTAGGTTTCCTTCTGGGAGTTTGCTTTTGGGAGGTCCTCATAGCTGACAGCCATAGACCAAGCCCAGGCTCCAGCCTGAGTCCACTTGGGCTCCTCTTCCTTCCAATATCTGTCCTTACCCTGGCCAGGTACGAGAGCGGCTCCGGGCAGCGCTGGAGCGAGTTACCACCTTGGAGGAGCAGCTGGCAGGAGCCCACCAGCAGGTGAGTTTGCTGTCTGCACTGTGATAGACCAAAGCTCCTGGAAGCCGGGAGGGTTTCTCCCATTGCGTTCCTCATCATGATGCTTCTCCGCATGGTGGCTGGACCCTAGGAACTGAGGCTGGGGCCAGACACCCTTTCTAGGAGTGGATCTGGATGCGTAGGAAGTTGTTTCTGACTTACTGCCAGGCGCTGTGCCCGACAGGTGTCTGCCCTGCAGCAGGGAGCAGGGGTTCGGGATGGAGTGGCAGAAGAGGAGGGGACTGTGGAGCTGGGACCAAAACGCCTATGGAAGGTTGGTAACCGGGTGCTGCATAGCAGAGACCTCTGCTCCCCACAACAGAATGGGAGACCCTGCCTGCTTGAGCTCAGTAGAGTTACTACTTAAATTAAATATGGGGCTTTCTGTGATATTCCCAGTTTTCTCCGTCTCCCCACTCCATCTGCAAAGAAATGTATAGATTTTGATCTTGTGCAAGGCACATGTGACATGCTTGCCCACTGAATTGTTAGGTGCCATCTTCCTTGAATGCCAGCTGCAGGCAAGATTCCTTCCCTCATGGAATCTTTGTTCCCCTAATTTGTCCTTTCTGGGTTACAGGAGGCTGAGTAAGATAGCAGGTATAGGTAGAAATGGTTGTTTTCCAAGAAATACTCGGGAGCAGGGGTATTGGTCCACTTGAGGAATAAGCTCCTGGGGCCTGGGGGAAGGAAAGTACCTGATGTGTGCTTCAATGTTGGGGCACAGCCATGTGAGGGTATGTGGTCCCTCACCTCCCCAGGATGGAGCAGAGGGTGGGATGCCCTGGGGCTCGTGATTGATTGATGGCTCCTGTCCCTGGAGGAGGATGTGGGCCGGATAGAGGAGCTACAAGAGCTCTTGGAGAAGCAGAACTTTGAGTTGAGCCAGGCCAGAGAACGACTGGTCACCCTGACAGCAGCTGTGACAGAGCTTGAAGAGGACCTGGGCACAGCCCGCCGGGACCTTATCAAGTCAGAGGAGCTGAGCAGCAAGCACCAGCGTGACCTCCGTGAGGTGAGCAAGGCCCTCCAACCCCTGCTGTCAGCTCCCTCATCTTGCTGGGTATAGGTACCTGACACTCAGGAGGGTGTGGCAGAGGTCCGAGCAAGATCAGGGAGTGTGAGATTGAAAACTCAGTGGGTCTAGTGTGGGGAGCAGTGATGGATGATTGGTTCATGGCCAGACACCAAGAAAGGGGTATAGGTCATGCCCTGTCCACATGTTGGAAGAGAAGTACAGAGAGGAGGAGGCAGGGAAAGGCTGGCCCCCTTTCCTGTCCTCCCTTCTGCTCCCACCCAGGCTCTGGCCCAGAAGGAGGACATGGAGGAGCGAATCACCACCCTAGAGAAGCGCTACCTGGCTGCTCAGCGTGAGGCCACATCCATCCATGACCTCAATGACAAACTGGAGAATGAGCTGGCCAACAAGGAGTCCCTACATCGCCAGGTAACTCCTCTAGACGGGGTGGGGATTGCACTTGACATCAGTGGTCCTGATGGTTTCGCCAGAACCACTTCTTGGTGGCTCAGGGGCCCCTGGCTCCTGCCCTTGGGAAAAGAGACATCGAAAGCCAAGCTTGTCCCTTGTTACTTCTGACCTGTTACCTGTTCTCTGCTGAGGCTGGGGCAGGGGTGGGGAGGCCTGGTGCCCTCTCTTCAGTTACTTCTCCACCCCTGCACTGTTAGTGTGAGGAGAAGGCCCGACACCTGCAGGAGCTGCTGGAGGTGGCGGAGCAGAAGCTGCAACAGACAATGCGCAAGGCAGAGACACTGCCGGAGGTGGAGGCTGAGCTGGCCCAGAGGATTGCAGCCCTCACCAAGGCAAGTGGACCGTGGCCTGGGATTGCCACTGTGCCCTGTGTCCCGAGCTCTTATGGAGCCAGGCAGGACACAGGAAGTTGGCCTTGGCATTCTCTGGGGTCTGTCTCTCTGGCACATTGGAGGCACACTGGGCCTTGAGCCCGAGAACTCTCACTGCGTGATGCTCAGAAACACTACCTTACGTCTGTCATGGACGAGCAATCCCTGCTCTCTTTATCCCACAGGGATGTGCCAATCCCACTGGAAGGAGGGGTAGGAATACTGTAAGGAGAAGAGACTGCACTGATGCACAGTATTTACATTATCATTCACACTGGTATACTTGAGACTTCTTTTCCATTGGGGCTAAAGTGGAAAGATTAGGATTCTTATTTCTGGCAAGATGAAATGGGAAGAAATATATGATTAATATGATCAAAGTCTGTATATCTCAGGAGGGGTGAGAATTTAGGTTGTGCACCTCTTTCTTTAGGAATCAAAGGATTCTAGATCTAGGGACCACCCCTAGCTGCTAAAGCCTACAGCTTTTGGATGAATAAAAAGGAATATCATTTTACCTAATGGAGAGCTAACTTTATGGGGCAATAATTCCTAAGAGGGTGCAGGCCGAAAACAAATAGGTGCTGAAGGGGTTAGGTAACTGCATGGACTTAGATATGCTGAGGGTTAATCAAAAGACTTTAGATCTTTTCAGCTAGATGGAGGCTTTGTCGGGTGGGTTGTAATGCAATGAAGATGATCATAACTACAACCAAACCCAGGGACAGAGGGAAACCAGTGCTAAGTAAGCACCTGGCCCCAGAGCCTCTGAAGAAGAGAGGCCAGTGTACCAGTGTGGCACCTTGTGTACTCCGAGGAGGGAACCTGTATCCTGATTATGCCTCAGTAGATCCTGGACTAAGTCTGCTTCTGCTACTGGCTCTGTAAGCTGGAAAAAGTCACCCTCTAACTGGATCTCCATGTCCTTATCTCTATGATGGTGGAGTTGGCCCTGGTGGTCTCTAAAGTCTATTTTTCCAGACCTAGGAGTGAAGGGTAGGGTTTAAATTACAGCAGAGGATGTTATGTGTGGGCTGCGAAGCAGAAACTGACAAAAAAGGGGTGGGCAGAAATGATTAATGTGTTCAAATGAGTCATAGCAGGAGAATTTTAAGGACGGATTTCCTGGCTGCAAGATGTAGTTATGGGATATTCTAGAATATCTTGTCAGCAAAAACAATAGGGTCTCCATCTCTGGAGATCTATGAACAGAAAGAGAAACTGCTCAAATTAGTACAAAGAGACCGTTCATACTAGTACAAAGGTAATAACTATGGCAAAGCTAGCATTGTTGAGTGCCTATTGTGTTCTAACGGTTTTCAGGAACTGATTCTTTCCTTCAGTTTCTGAAATGGTCCAGTGGGTACAGGTTCTGTTATTGTCCATTCTACGATTGAGAAAACTAAGGTACATACAGAAGTTCAGAGACTTGGCCAGAGTCTCATAGCTGGTAAGAGAGGGAACTAGGATTTGAACCCAGGCCTTCTGGCTTGAGTCCATGCTCTTGTGTGTAGTTCCATCTATCTGGAGGCACAGAGGTGATATATGATAGCTTCTTCTTTCAAGTGGAGCGTTTTCTGGAAATGTGGAGAAGATGGACAGCCTTTCTTGTTGCCAGCTCTGAGGAGGTAGGAAGTGGAGGACCAGCAAGAGTCAGGTGCTTGGGACCAAAGGCAGTGGGGAATTGAAGTTCCACACCAAGATGGTAGAAAGAAGAGGGCTGGGGTTTCTTGGCACCTGAGCCTGGATTTCCAAGACTCCCAGGCCCAGGCCCAGTGGGGTGTGGGGCGAGGCAGGAGGGACAGAGATCTCTAGGATACACTGAGCCATCTCTGCCCCTAGGCTGAAGAACGGCACGGAAACATAGAGGAACATCTGCGGCAGCTGGAAGGGCAGCTGGAGGAGAAGAACCAGGAGCTGGCAAGGGTGAGGGCAGCAGGATAGGCTCTCCAGGCAGCTTGGGGGGAAGCTCCCAGGATGGTGTGTTGGGGAGGGGGTAGGGTGAGTAGAGGAAGGGCCTGCCTCGGAGAGAGCCTCATAAGGGCAGAGGCTTGCGGGAGGGCGGCAACAAAGCTCTGAGGGGGTATGGTGTAAGGCAGGCCGGCTGTGCAGGTGCGCCAGCGGGAGAAGATGAACGAGGACCACAACAAGAGGCTGTCAGACACTGTGGACCGGCTGCTTAGCGAGTCAAACGAACGCCTGCAGCTGCACCTCAAAGAGCGCATGGCAGCCCTGGAGGAGAAGGTTCAGTGGGCGGGGCCGTGGGCGGGGCGGGGCCAGATTGGCGGCTTTGGGATGTGATAGGTCAGTTAGGGGCAGGGAGGTGGGGCCTGTGTAGGGCGGTACAGGCCTGAAGATGGGGAAAGGGAGATAAGGAAGGAGAAGAGTCTCCCGGTGGGAGCCCTCTGGGGCAGGCTGGGAAAGCAGGCTTGGGGTGCAAAAGGGAGTGCTCCCAGTTGGGAGAGAAAAGCACAGACTAAATAAGTGTAGGGGAGTTGGCGGATAGGGCATCTTTGGCTGACAGCTGATCTCTCCTAGAACACGCTGATCCAGGAGTTGGAGAGCTCTCAGCGCCAGATCGAAGAGCAGCATCACCACAAGGTACCCATTGGTAGCCCCCCGACATCCAACCTGGAGAGCCCCTGGTAAAAGACACCCCCCCCCCATGCACCTGCTCTGATACCCAGCACTGTGCTCCCGTGTCAGGCCCATGCACATAAGTTACGTATCATGCTTCACTACAGCTCAACACAGTAGACACTATATCATTCCCCAGAGTAAAAAATACACTGAATCCGTAAGCACAGGGCCTAGGGAAGAACTCAGCCCAAGGATTTGTAGTGCTCTCAAACCCTGGTGAGGCGAGATTCAGCACTTCTGGGAGGATTTGCCACCACCCTGCCTCAGGATATGTGGGAGAATTCTGGGTCTCTGCTGCCTGACCTCATTTGCCAGGCTTCTATGAGGCTATGAGGGTCAGTAGCCCTTTCTAGCACAGGCCTAGCCCAGACAGAACTTGCCTGGCTCAGCCCCATTTGGATGTTTTTCCCACTTCTCTGTTGGCATCTCTTCTTATTAGTACTCTGTGTAGCATGGTCGGGGCCTCTGACTTTGGCCTTTGCAGTGAATTCTTCTGCTCCCCAACTCTGTTATCCTTTTGATCCCTCTCTGATTCCCACCTTCCCTTCTGTGCCCCTCCCTGATCCCACCCCTTCGTCTGCCTGTCACAGGGCCGCCTGTCTGAAGAGATTGAGAAGCTATGTCAAGAGGTGGACCAGCTGAAGGGTCGAGGGGGGCAGTTTGTGGATGGTATCCACTCCAGGTACTGGACCTTGAGAGGTGGTTGTGAGGGGCAGGGTCCTGCACAGACCCTGAGGAAGGAGATTTTCTCCCACCAAATCGCACTCAGGCCCTCTGGGTTCTCTTCCTATTCAGGGTGGGACACTGGAGCTGAGAGAGTTGGTCAGGTGGGCAGTTAGGAAGGGAACATCTGTCCTCTGAGGATACAGAGAGGCAAGAAATCAGAGACTGCTCTTCTTTATTGCTATGCTTCTTGTGTCCTTAACAGTAGGCATGCTCTTGAGAGGAGATTTGCCAATTTATATGCCCTCCCATGCACCACAAAGCCCACTGGTGGAGAGTACCACTTACTGTAGTTTTTCAGAGACACCATCTTTAGGATGCTTTTTTTTTGGGTCTTTTTATCGGTACCGGGGATCGAACTCACGACTGCCTGCTTGCAAGGCAGGCTAGGATGCTTTTTGAGAGTCAAGGATCACCTGAGTTTGAATAGGAAGAAGTGGGCAGAAAGCAATTGGAGAGACTGAAGCAAGGCAGGAAAATTTTCTGTCCTCTTGGAAGTTTCGATGCTGCTTGTATGTCTGACATCCCTTTACCTGGAAACAGTGTAAGAAACGGATAATGGAATTTTTGTGCCTTAGAGAAGCTCTGGATTTTTCTCCACTTTTTGGAAAGCAGCTGGCATTGAACTCAGACCTCGAGCCTGCGCTCAGTTCTTTACTCAAAGAGACTAAGTGAAGATTGAGGAGACTGAAGTGGTTAATGCCACCCAAGGTCAGGGATCCTGGCTATTTTCTCTTAAAACCACAGTCTGTTAGATTAGAACTTCGGGAGTTCTCTTCAGTCAGTGCTCTTGTTATATTAGGGAAATGGGGATCAGTTACTGTGAGAAAGGTGAAAGGACATAGGTATGTGGGGAGGGGCAGGATAGGTATGTGTGGAAAATTTGGGAAAAAAAAGAACTTGAGAGGAGAAACTTGTGGGATGTAGGGTAGCAGAAACTCAAGTGCCATCTTCAAATTCAACAAGAGTTACTGTAGTGGTATAGGAGTATAAAAAAAAGGCAAGGAACAGAGACATAGAATGGTAGCTGGGATGCTACTTTTTTCTTCCTGTAGGTGACCAGAAGGGCTACCATTCATTTAATACCTGTCCCAGAATATCCCAAGTCATCTGCCACTGTATGCTTTCTTTATTTGTTGGGAATTCTTAGCTTTGGCTGTACAATCACTGGACCCATAACTGAATTGGGACTGAGTTGTAATGGAAAAGAGGGACCTCACTTAGCTCCTAGCTGAGAAAGTGCAGAGAAGAAATATCACAGGGGAGGCTTTTAGACTCTCCAGAGACTGTTCCTGGCACCCTAAAATCTAGCCTGTGCCTCTGATACAAGATTGAGGCCTCTCAAAGCTTCCTGAGGATAAGGTAGGGATATACTGGGTGGAATTTTAGCCAGATTAGGAACTCAGTCTGGATTATCAGAAGACCTGAGAAAAGACTTTGGGGGAGAAGACCGAGAGATAAAGACCTGGAAAGTGGAAAGACCTTCAGAGATCACTGCTGGAACTTCTCCAGTGCCTGGAGCCCACCTACAGTTCTTGGCAGAAGGCCAGAGAACCTCCACTTGAACACCTGACTGAGAGCTCAACTTTCTAAAAGCATAACAACCATGAGAAGATCCTTTTTATGCTAAATGAAAAGCTGCTCCCTAAGGCTTTCTCCCCTAGATGATTCTGACCCGGAGCAGAATAAGTCTAAATCTTGTACTTACATGGCAGCCCTACAAACACATATGATAGCTGCATACATATCTGATTAAGACTTCTCTGAGCTGAAGATCCCTTACTCTTGGGGTCTGGGGGTGCTGGCTGGGTCTCTTGGTCTTCAGAGCCGTCTTTTCTGTCCCCCCTGCCACCCTCTCAAGGTCGCACATGGGCAGTGCAGCAGACATAAGGTTCTCCTTGAGCACCACCATCCGCGGACCCCCAAGTGTGCATCGCCGCTATTCCACCCGAAGGGAAGAATCAGCCAAGGTAAGGGGGAGACGAGTGTGCGGGGGTCTCCCCAGGGAGTTTGAGGTCAGTTCATCCCCGTGCCTGGCTCCAGTTACACAGACGACTGGCATGTGGTGCAAATCCTCCCCTGCCCTCCCCCGTGTCCATAACAGCTGCAGCCCTGGGTTTGGGGCGATTGTCAGCTGCAACAGCTGTGCCCCCCTTTGCCTTGGCCTCCTGGTGGGCAGGACGTAGGGGCTAGAAGGCAGCCAGCCAGGCCCTAAGGCCCCACTGAAGCGTGTGTGCGTGTGCCTGGGTGTGCAGGCATGTGTTTCTTGTGGTCATGGAGGGGCTGTGGGGGTAAGAAGCAATTGGCAAGCTTCCTGAAACAGTAGTTGTGATTTATAGGGAGAAGGGAAGGGTGGCAGGTTACCTGGCTCTTGGAATGGCACCTGGAGTTTTCTGAGGGGCAGCTCTGGCCTCACCCCGTCTGATTTGGCCAAAAGAGATTGGGAGAATAACCGAAGATAAATTGTGGAAAACGGCTGACTTCCATCTCCTGGAGAAATATTTCCTGCCTGGCCAGCTAATTGTTAGTCCCATCTACATCCAGTTCCTCTGTGTGCTCTGGGGGCACCAGGATATATAGATAGCAACGATGGAAGGAACTCCTACTCTGCTGGGGAAACTTTTCCACCCTTAGGGAGCCCCAGTCTGATCACAATCTTTTTGTCCCTCCCTCAGTCTTCTATATTCTGTTACAAAGACACAGCTGCTAACCAGTAGTTCACAGAAGGTGACACGTGCTAGAGCAGAACCCTCAGGGAAAATTGGGGACTTGGATCATAGAAGCTCTATGTTAGCAGCCCTCTTAGACCTGGCTAGTTCCTTCCCTTCCCCTACTTTTCTGGTTTTCCCAGCTCCATTCTGGCCTTCTCTTCTTTGGGACCTTTCTCTGCTGAAGAGGTTTATAGTATGATTTTGGAAAAGCCACTGCCTCTTAGAGTTGATCCTGTAGTGTGCTCAAACTCTGGGAGACACAGACACTTGTGCCTCCTTGGCCTTGCCTTGTCCCCAGATCTAGACATCTTTTGTGGGTTTGTGCAAACAGAAAGCAATCACTTTTACATAGTGTCTGTTTCGTTCCAAGTCCCTGTGCTAAGAGGAGCACCTGCAGTTCTTCACTTAAGCTTTACAATTACCTACAGGGTAGGTGTTATTGCTATCCTGTTTTACAAATGAAGAAACTGAGACACAGAGCAGTTAAGGAACTTTCCCATGGTTGTACAGCTAGTATTGGTGGAGCTGAGATCCAAACCAAGATCGTGTTTCTAGAATCTGTTCTTAACCATTGTATCAGCCAATTCCTTGAGTGAGGTGGAACAGCGGTTCTCAGACTTTACTGTACAAATAAATCACCTGGGAATCAGATCTTGAATCAGTGGGTCTGCCTGGCTAACAAGCTCCTAGGAGATGTTCTGCTACTGAACAGGGTGGGGAGCTCTTGCTCCTCAGCTGTCTTGGAGTCTGATCGATACTCCTCTACTCTCCTCCTCTGCTAAGGACTGGGAGCTGTCTCCACTGCCTGGTATGCTGGCTCCCAAGGCCACTGCTGCCTTTGACAGCGACCCTGAGATCTCTGACATGGAAGAGGATGAGCCGGGGGCTCTTGTGGGCTCTGTCGATGTTGTCTCTCCCAGTGGCCACTCAGATGCCCAGACTTTGGCCGTGATGCTGCAGGAACAACTGGATGCCATCAATGAAGAGATCAGGTTGGGGCAGGACAGAGACTGAGGGGTGCCTGGAAGGATGGGTCTCCTTGGCATTTGGTCACTATAGGAAAAATTCTACTGCTGCTTTATTTGCTTCTTATAGCCGCACCTCAGAGGGTTGTAGTCTAAAGACCTCCTATGGAGCATCAGGCAAGATCTGGCCCAGTGCTGATCCAAGAGAAGCAGGACCTTAGTGTGACTGTCAAGCCTCATCTCCCTCTCTGGGCTGGTGGGGTGGCCAGGCTTGGGAGAATGAGCTTGCTCCTGGTGCTCATCCTGACCACTAAGAATGCAGTTCCGATACCACTGCTGGCTCAGGGTGAAAGGTTCATGTGACTGTCAGTCTCACCCCTCTCCCGGGGGTAGACAGGATGACCTCTGTGTTATAGACAAGGAAACAGATATTCAGGCAGGTTAAGTGGCCTGCCTAAAGCCACACAGGAAGTGGCAGAGCTTGGATATAAACTTGTGGTAACTGAGCCTGCTGTGCCATGGCTTCCATTCCCAATGAGGCATCAAACAGAAATTGGCAGCAGGGAAAATGATCAAAATCTTCACCTTATCCTTCCTGTTTAGTGAGCTTATTAATGTCAATGACAAACAGTGAGGGAAAATCTGAGCCAAGGTATATAGTTTTACAAGCTGTCGAGGTTCAGCAGTTCCCATCCAGTGGGATTTTACAAGCCAGTTACAAATAAGGGTACACGTGCACACACATGAACAGCAATATAGGACTTCCAACTCTTCACTCTGCAAAATAAAACATTAAAGTAACTGCTGTTTACCATCACAGCCATCCTGCAAAAAAGAAAAAAAAAAGGACTTTTTTACATCCCTAGTGTGGGAAAGATATCCTTTCAGAATATAAACACGTCCTTCTCCTTATAGGACATTCAGCATCTTTCAACAGTGTGTGTGTAGTGTGCTTGTGCAGATGTGAGTCTTGTACACATTCCCTGCCAAGTGCCACAAACACACACACACACACACACACACACACACACACACACACACGCACGCAGAGCTATTGCTAAGTTTCTCATTTTTCTATGAAACAGGGAGAATCCCATTGGAGATTGCATTTGGAAACCAATCTCTAAAACCGGACCAGACGTTGCTTATATTTGGAAACTGAGGCACAGAAAGCAAAGTTCCTGATGCAAGCTCACCCTGGTAGTTATGTAGTTCAAGAATTCTAACTTCCATGGTGGTTTGTGTTTCACTGACCATATTGCCTCCTCCTTGCAATGACTTGTGAAACTAGGAAAGCGGGCCAGCGAAGAAGAGAGAGAGTGAGAGGCAGGGATGCTGCTAAGCTCCAGACATTCTGTGTTCTGAAGGTGCCACAGACTATAGGGTGCCCTTAGGCCTTGCTTTGTGTGTGGCCCTAGGGTAGTGAGAGCCAGTCCTTGCTGGGCTAATGGCCAGGTCTGGTACTGCCTGCCTCCTAGGATGATCCAGGAAGAAAAGGAGTCCACAGAGCTCCGCGCAGAAGAGATTGAGACGCGTGTAACCAGCGGCAGCATGGAAGCCCTTAACTTGACACAGCTGCGGAAGCGTGGTTCCATCCCCACCTCACTGACTGCCCTGTCCCTGGCCAGTGCATCTCCTCCACTCAGTGGCCGCTCCACACCGAAGCTCACCTCCCGCAGTGCTGCCCAGGACCTGGACCGAATGGGGATCATGACCTTGGTGAGAGCTTTTGGGCAGCTGATAAGCAGAGCTTTCCCTCAGTTGGGCCCGCCACCTTCTTCCCACAAATGAGGCCACCAACGTGTGCCGAGTAGGAAAGGGCTTTCTTAATGCCTAAGAACCTCACTACCCACACTGCTCCTCTTTTTGAGAGGTAGCCTTTACTTAATTTTTCAGGCCAATATTTTTCTGCGGTGACATTCCCTCCAGGCCTATGAGACACTGATAGTCTGTTCTCATCCTGAGATCACTAGGCTCCTCCCAGGGTGGGTGTGGATTAGGGCTTGCCCCTCCTCACCTTTTTCTTTCTCTTCCAGCCCAGTGACTTAAGAAAGCATAGGCGGAAGCTGCTGGTGAGTGTTTCCTGGCGGCCCAGGTACTCATGGGTGATTGTTCCCAGACCCTTCCCTTACAGAGTCTCCCCCACGGCTCTTGGGTCTGAGTCTGAACTTGAGAGGCCACAGGACCTCCTGATAGTTGATCAATTTTCTTGTTCCTCTGCCTCATCTGGGCTGGGTAGGCAAGCCCCAGATCTCACCCTCTACCTCCTGACGGCTCCACTGTCTGTTCAGTCGCCAGTGTCTCGGGAAGAGAACCGAGAGGATAAAGCCACCATAAAATGTGAGACTTCTCCTCCTTCCTCACCCAGGACGCTGCGGCTAGAGAAGCTTGGCCACCCAGCCCTGAGCCAGGAGGAAGGCAAGAGGTAAGTGGAGCAGTCCCACCTCCCATCTCTCTGTCCCCAAGGCCGTAGCATTGTGCCCTCTGCGTCTCACCTGTCTCAGGTGCTAGAGCATCTCTCTTCTCTCTGAAACACCCTTAAGGAAGGATGATCCTATGGTCACCTGCTCTGATCATATCCCCTTGCCCTTCCCCTAACCTCAGCATTGATGCTTACGTTCTTTCAAGCTTTAACTTCCATCTCTCTGGCTGTAATTTAAGTATGTTTCTTCTTATTCTGCCCCCTCCTGGCTGTCATCCTCTAGTGCCTTGGAAGATCAAGGCAGCAACCCCAGCAGCAGCAACAGCAGCCAGGACTCGTTGCACAAGGGCGCCAAGCGCAAGGGCATCAAGTCATCCATTGGCCGGCTGTTTGGGAAGAAGGAGAAGGGCAGGCTGATCCAGCTGAGTCGGGATGGAGCCACAGGCCATGGTCTCTGCCCCTTTCATAGCACAGGGCTGGGTGTGTGCTGGGGAGTCAGAAGCAGAAGGGTGTCCTGGGCCTGCCTTCCTGGGGCTGGTAGATGAAGAAGCTGTAGGCAGGCAGGTTCCAGCTCTAGAGCAATGTCAGTCTTCTGTTAGTTATTTCCCCATGGGAAAGATGGCCTCGGGAGGGGGCAAGCAGCTGCACCTCCAGTGTGAGGTTGTGTCTGGATGGCCATTTCCTTGGCTTGTTGTAGCAGAGATTTCTGGATGGAGAGAAAGGTCCAACCGCTCTGATTTCCTCCACTTGAAAAGTTCTGTGATGTACTGTGCAAGACCTGCAGGAGAAATTTCTTAGTTTTTCCTTTGAATGAGTCAGTTATTGATTAGAACTTACTTCTGGCACTCAGAGTATAAAAACACCCACGAATGGCTTTGCAGACATTTGGTTCAAGAGAATGTTTGGGCAGGGCAGCGCTGTGATCACCACTGTGGTGAAAGCTCTAGGCCGTGTTTGGTGTGTGGGAGGTACACAATGGGTGTTCACTTTCTTCCTTCCTCTCTCCCAGTTCTCTTTCCTTTCTTCTTTTCCCTCCCTCCTTTTCTTTTCATTGCCTCTTCAGTCTTTTGTTCAAACACACTTAATGAGTGCTTCCTGTGTGGTGTAGTACAAGGTGTTGGAGAGACAGCTCATTCCTCACAGATCTTAGTATCTAATGAAAAGAAAAAAATAAAGACATGCTTCCAGAACAGTACAGTGGAGATGAGCCCAAGCTGCTTCAGGAGCTCAGACCTGGCTGTGGGGTGTTGGGTATGGCAGGAAGGGCTTCCCCTGCTGGTACCCTGAGCTGGGGTGCTATTGGAAGGGTTCTGTATGAGCAGGAGGGATGCACTCAGAGGAGGGGAAAGATTGTGTGGGTTACAGGGCTTTGTGTGCTGTCCTCTGTGTTCAAAATGAAGTAGGAGGATAGGAAGAGAAGGGAGAAGGATGTCAGCTTCTGAGTCTGAGGGATAGACTCAGAAGTTCAGAGGCAATGGGAACAATGAAGAATTTCTTCCTGGAGAGGAACTCCATCAGCTAGAAGAAAGAAAATCTTTGACCCTAGATGCATTAGACTTCCCTGCATCTCAGAAATAAGCGAATTGGAACAGAGCTAGTTGAGCAAGGGGTAGAGAGTGAGGAAGAAGGGGAAGAAGAGGAAGATAAATGAGGGGGGCAGGAGGAGGAGGGAAGGAGGGTACCCTTGTTCAGGGTGTGGGAATCTCATCCCAGGAATGAGGTAGAGCTCTGCCCTCCTCCCCATCCTCAGGGGCAGAGGGATGGGAAGGCAGCAAAGTTCAATCAGTGGCAGAGGTGTGCTGTGAAAATCCTCATGATTTCTTGTGCCCCATACTGTGTTGGCACTGAAACCCATGACAGCAGTCAAACTGGTTCCTGGACCTCCCATACCTGCTGCCCATGTGTGCTCTGAGAAGTGGCCAGGATATCAGTGAATCCTAAGATGCTGCCCTTTGCCACAAATTCTGTAGGATTCCAGCATGAATTCAGGAGACCCTCAGTAGAAGACAGCAGAATGTGTTCCTCTTTGCAATCTGTGCGAGTGGGCGCACCCAAAGAAAGAGGCTGGGAGATACATCTCTCTGTGCCGATATCCCCATCCCGAACCAAGTTGGGATAATCCTCTCGGAGCCTTGTAAGCCCCTTGTGTCTACTCTCTGGGTTTGCTTTGTCCCTTGGCTTGGAGTAGGGACAGGTTTTCTGAGGATTTTAGGGTGGGGCATCTGGCTGGAAATACCCCCAGGACTGAGGCTTCCAGGTGGGATACTGTCAAGATGATCCACTCAGTGCCACTCTGGATGCAGGACCTTGGGAGGAGGCTCTAGGAATCACATGAGGTCCTATCAGACCCTCCACTGAAGAGTCTCTTGCTGCTTCTGCTCCTCTTCACTGGCCCAGGCCAAGGGAAGAGAAACAGGGGGCCTGCTGACCCAGGCATCTCTTCCCTTTCAGTTCTGCTCACAGACTCCGAGCTCAGTCTGCAGGAGCCTATGGTGCCTGCTAAGTTGGGGACCCAAGCAGAGAAGGACCGGCGGCTGAAGAAGAAGTAAGAGCCGCCAGGGTGGGGCCCAGGCCTCAGCCCACTTTCCTTCTTCTCAGCTGCCATGGGACTGAGCTCAGGAAGCCAGAGCCCAGCAAGGCCCTTCCTGAGCTCAGCTGGTCCATGTGGGCACAGCAGGGTATGTCCTGAGTTAGGAGGAGGTGCTTAGGGTGACCCTACGGAAGGAAGGGAGAAGGAAGCAGGGGATTGTGAGAAAGTGTCTCAGGGCCCATGGGGAAGGGCATACTGAAATGTCTAAATCAGTACAAATAGGTTGTACATCCACAGTAAGAGTCCCTCATTCTCTGGCATGGAAGGGTGTCTTGCCCACATGGCTTCAGCATAGAGCAGTGGAGTGAGTCCATGGGTGGGGAGCTGGGGAAGTGTAAGTCCTCACTCTTGGTCCAGCCCAGTGGTCCCCAGGAGCCAGGCTGGTTGACAGAAGGAAAGACTAGTGAGTCTCCTCTTCTTCTTTTTACAAGACACCAGCTGCTTGAAGATGCCCGAAGAAAAGGAATGCCCTTTGCCCAGTGGGATGGTCCCACAGTGGTCTCCTGGCTGGAGGTGAGCCTGGGCAAGGCAGTCCACTCTGGGGTGTGGAGGGAAGATTGTGTGGTTTGGACAAAGGTGCCTGGTCAGTGAGTGGTGCCCCTACTGCTTCCCAAGCATGTTCCTCCTCTGCCAAGTGCACATGTGGCACCCCAAGTATTTGTCTGTCCTCAGTACCAACCTCAGAGGACATAATCGACTCTGCTTACTTATGTCTCATAGGCAGCTAAGTTCGGGTAAGGGGTGCTAGTTCATAGGCAATTGGTTCTTAGAGGTTTCCCCTAGGAGGTGATCAGCTTTGTGATTATGAGAAAATTCCTTTACCTTCCCAGGCTTCTGATTGTTAATCTGTAAAATGGTTTGTTGGTAGTCTTCTCTGGATTCCTAAGGTCCTAGCAGTGCTGTGTTTGCTAGACTGAGACTACAGATGGGGCCTGGCTTTGGCCCCTAGCTTGCTATGCCCAAGCTCTTGGCAGTGGGACCAGATCTTGGGGGAAGGGGGTTGACTTATCCCTGCACCTCATGTCTGCAGCTCTGGGTGGGGATGCCTGCTTGGTATGTGGCAGCCTGCCGGGCCAACGTCAAGAGTGGTGCCATCATGTCCGCCCTGTCAGACACAGAAATCCAGCGGGAAATTGGCATCAGCAATGCCCTGCACCGGCTCAAGTTGCGGCTGGCCATCCAGGAGATGGTATCACTCACCAGTCCCTCTGCCCCTCCCACCTCGAGAACGGTGAGTGGCCTCCCTCCCAAGAACATTTACAGAGACCCTGGAGTAGTGTTTGCAAAGCCTCCCACTGGTCTTTGGGAATAGTGGCCTTGGGCTCTGCCCTTTGCCATCCTCATGAAAGGCTTTCCCAGTCCTTAGGAGGGGATCCACGGGCTGGCTTGCTGCCTCCTACAGACCATCCGTAACCTCCGTTTCCCCAGCGTTGTCTGACTGCAATTCCAGATCTCTGCGCAGAGTTTCTCAGATGGGAATTCTAGGGTCCTGTGTTATTGGCAGGTTGGAGAAGGTGGAGGTGTAGGGCACTTAAGAATTCTGTCCTCTGTCATCTAACCTTAAAATGAGCTAAAATCACACTGTTGCTCATCTCTGTGATTGTGGTCAGTCCCCATTTTGGGTCAGCACCATTCATTTGCATCCATCCAGGAAACATGCACTGAGCACTTTCTATGCACCAGGTGCTATGCTAAGCAGTGTAGATACAACAATAAAAGAGATGCTTGGAGCTTACCAGTGTGCAGAGCTCTAGGCCAGGCATTTGGAGGACTTGGGAAGGGAGCTTTGTCCAGCTCCTTGGGAGTCTGGGCCTTCTGGGAATCTTAGGGACCCGACCCAAACCAGCTAGGTTTCCTCTATGCCTGCAGTCTTCCGGGAATGTCTGGGTCACCCATGAGGAGATGGAGACTCTGGCAACGTCCACCAAAACAGTGAGTGTAGCCCTTGGCTCTGGTTAAAACTGGCGACTTCCATGAGATGAAGGGAAGGCTGTGGGGAGTCTTTGGTGCTTGATGTCCCTGATGCTCATTGCATCCTGGTCTCAGGGCGGAGGACTGAGGGGAACGAGGGGAAATTGTGAGCGGTTTGTGTCTGTGTGGTGTGTCCCAGAGGGACATAAGCTTCCCCATGGCCCTCAGCACCCTGTAGTGGAAGAGCCTGGGGCTAAAGAGGGCTTTGCCTTCAATGGGTCTGAGCTCCAGGCTTGATCCCTGGTGCAGGAGCAGGGCTGGGAAAGCCTAACATCTTGCTTGGTTCCCAGTCAATCCCGAGAGGCAAGGAAGTATGTTTTTGCCACACACACATTTGCTCTGCTCTCGCTATGAACATGGACATGCACCAGCCTTCTGCTCTATCTAAACTATCACAGCTGCTTTCCCTGGTCACCCACTTAGCAGCTGAGGCATCTTCTCCCTACTGTGTGTGGGTCCTGGGTAGAGCTGGCTGGGTTTCTTGACTTTGCTTATTTTCCCTGACACGCGGCACTTGTTCCTGCTAGGACAGTGAGGAGGGCAGCTGGGCTCAGGTAAGACCCCTGTCCCTGCCAGGACAGCTCTCAGAAGATCAGGATGGTGTTTTTCCCGCAGGCTCTCTGTCCCTCAAGTCCCAGTGTGTGCATCCCTTTTCATGCTGGGAGCTCTGAATGCAGTTTCTCTGCCCCCACTGAACTCCCAGTGCCCCTCGAGCTCCTTGCTGTAGGGTGAGGAGCCCTGGGGTTGTGCCCTCTATGTGCCTATCTCTTCTCTGCACTTTGCTTCCCACGAATGACAGACTCAGATTGGTACGAGTCTCCCTCTCCCTGCCCCTCTCAGGGCCACTCTGGCAAAGTGGCAGGGCCTCTCATTTGTTCATTTAGTGCACAAAAGTTCATCGGGCATCTACCATGAGCTTTCTGGATATAGAAGTTGTTAACAAGTACAGCATGCATGGAGTAGCAAACAAAGGATTAATATCAGTACAGTATCAATAAGGATTAAAAGGGAAATATTAACAAATAAAGGGACAGCCTCAAATAGTGACAGGTGCCACTGAGAAGAATGAACCAGGAAGCAGCACCGTTTACTCCAGTAGATGGGGCCTGGCCAGTAATCACATTCACACAATGGAACATCGTGCAGCAGAGAAACAGAGGGCTCAGAAATATAATGCTAAGCGAAATGTGCAAGTCCTGATAGCCTCAAAGAATTTGATACTAAAATTCAAAAACAAAGTTAGTAATATATTGTTTGGAAGAACAGACATTACTGATTGTAAAAACTGTGGACACTTTTTTTTTGGTACCAGGAATTGAACTTAGGACCTTGTGCTTGCCAGGCAGGCGCTTATGTTGCTAAACTCCCAGCCCTGTGAATACACTTTTTTTTTTTTTTTTGTCTTTTTCCTTTTTATCGGTACCGGGGATCGAACCCACAACTGCCTGCTTGCAAGGCAGGTGCTTATGCCGCTGAGCTAAATCCCCAGAACCACTGTAAATACAGTTTTAAGGCAGGGGAGTGCTGGACAGAAAGCCAAGCATGGTGGCTACCTCTGGGAGAGGCAGGGAGAAGTGAGAGAGGGAAGAACAGCACAAAGATGGATGTGAGGATGTGGAGAATAACAGTGAAAGTCTGGTCTTTCCCTTCAGTGCTGTCTGCAATGGGAACTTTATATAGTGAGCACACCTGACATGTAGCTTTATATACATCAACACTTTCATGTTAAAAGGAGACAAAATAAATTTACCAATGTGAAAACATCAAGGGAAATATGACAGAGAGTTGCTGTCAAAACTAAAGATTTTGAAAGGTGGCAGTCGTGGAACCTCCCCTTGCTAATGTCAGGAGGTGACTTCCAGTTGGTGCAGGATTTGGGAAGGCAGCAAAGGACCTACAAAAGGGAGCAGAGGATCCATCAAGTGTTAAAGGACTCAACGCGCTATTCACGTGCAAGCCACCTGCCCTTTGTTTTTCTCGGGGCTTCAGACTCTGTTTAATGTCCCCATGGACTGTGAGGCCAGCCATTTTCCAGAGTGAGGCTGGCATGCTTTGCTGCTCTGCAGGTCCACTGTGCACAGTCTGCCCCCTGGGCTGAGTGGGCTCAAGGCTCATGGAGAAGCAGGGAGGCAGGACGTCTGCACAGGGCATTCCAGAGTGAACAAGAAGGGTTCGTATTCTCTGCTGCCCGCCTGCTTGCTGCTGTTCGTTAGTGTAGATAATTGATTCATGAGTGGAACTGGATCTTTTTGAGATCTTGGAAAGCTCTGTTTAAAATCTCCCACCTCAGCTGACCATGGTTGTGCATGCCCATAATCCCAGAACTCTGGGAGGCTGAATCAGGAGAATCACAAGTTCAAGCCCAGCCTATGTAGGTAAGATAGAGACTTAGAGAGAACCTGCCTCAAAATAGAAAATTTAAAAAAGGTCTGGGGATGTAAATCAGTGTGAAGGCCATGGGTTTAGCACTGCAAATAAATAAAGTAAAATAAAATAAACTTCCCTGCACTCTATTTACCCCTTAGTTAAAAGAAACTGAAATTTTATTAGTCCACTCTTCTTACCCCTTTGGTGGAGGATCGGTTAAAGTTTCTCCCAAGCAGATATGCCAGCTGCAACTTGGTGGCACGGCTTTCCTCTTTCTTGTTCCCCAGACCTTGGCCTATGGAGACATGAACCATGAGTGGATTGGGAATGAGTGGCTGCCTAGCCTGGGGCTCCCCCAGTACCGGAGCTACTTCATGGAGTGCCTGGTGGATGCACGCATGCTGGACCACCTCACCAAGAAGGACCTGCGTGTCCACCTGAAGATGGTGGACAGCTTCCATCGGTGAGTGGGGCTGGAACCAGGGCCACTGCCCCAGTGAGGGGGTCTGTGTCGGGAACAGAAATGCCTCTCCTCTTTGCATGGCCAGGTCTAGTGGGTAATGGGTTTCCTTCTTGGGAAAGTTCCACTCTTGTTGAATTCTCATGTTGTCCTGCAATTGGAGGATCTGATCCTCTTACCTCTAACCCTTGAGACAAAAAGTCATTCTCTTTAGTATCTTCTTTGAGATTTTTTCACTGAGGCCTGAATTTCTTAGCTTGTCTTTGGGCTAATTGAATTCTGCTTACCCTGAAAAGACTAAAACTGAATGTGAAATTTGGTTTGGGTGTCTCACTCCCTCTAAACTCAAGGACAATGGATGTCTAGGCCCTTTTTCTGCTGATACTGCAGATTGGAGCTCCTGAGCTTTGAACCCATATTCTTTGGTTCAGAGATCAACCAGTCCTATCTTCCTCTGTACTGAAGAGATCTTCTGTTTAGAAGTGTGGCAGTGGAGGTCCTAAACTGACAATGTGTGGGCAGAATTTGGTCTGCAGATATGTTTTGTTTGGCCCACATGTATTTTAAAAACCATGAATCTAGTTGCCAGTACTTAAACAGGAGGAGACTTTACATAAACCTCCAGACTTCTGGTTTCTCTTGAAAAACCTCAAGTTCTGTCCGCACATTTCTCCATGAAAATGACCTACTACAGGTGGAGAGCGATACCCTCACAGGATGGGGGGGGGGCTTCTCCAGGTCCTTCTGGGTCCCTCCAGCTGCCTGCCTTATGTGCATTTGCCCACCTGGTCCACTGGGCATTTAAGTTGGAGAGCGAGGTGGGTGACAGTGTTGCAGGCCTGACAGCTGTTGGAGTCCTTTGCAGCACCCAACTCCAAGCAGCACAGGCTGCTGCTTCAGCCAGATCTTTTGCCTTGAGAGGATAATGACAGGGGTGAGGCTGAAAAGTGTGGGCTTTCAGGATTTCCTCAGGGCCTGTGGGTGTCCCCCAAGGATGTGGGGGACCGTTGATGACCTCCAACTCAGAGCAGAACTAGGGATCTAGTTAGCTTTCTCATGTCATAGGAGCATGGGAAGGATTCTTAGCCCAAGGTCACTAGGGATGATGGCAGAGTACAGGTGGAACAAGACTGCTGCCTCAGGGCCACCACCCTGCAGAGACTCCTGTCCTGGGACCCTTGCCTTCCTGACCCCAGTGCCCCCAACACAGCTTATGAGGGCGACTTGCGAGGGAAGCCTGTGTGCTCCCTCTGCACTCTCCTCTCCTCCCTCCACTGGGACTGAAAGGGAATCCTTTGTCTCTGCCCAGGAGACTGCCAGACCTAGCTGCACCTGTCCCCTGCTGGTGATTGATAGGGCTGGGGAGAAGGCTGGTCCCTCGCCAAGCTGGGATGTGCTGGTTGCTGGAAGATGTCAGCCAGCCTCACCCTGCAGCACGGAAGTCCTCCCACAGCCCCTGTCCCCAGAGTTGGGAGCAAAGCCCAGCCTGCTGCGTGGTTCCAGCTCTGGCTCTGCATCTCGAGTGCTTTGGAGTTTCTAAAGCTAACTCCTCCATCTTTGACACCCAGCTCAGAGGCTTTTCCTTGGACAGGGCATTCTGCTGGGTGGGTTTCCTCAAGGAGCTCCTGTTTGAATCAGACCTACACACACAGTAACCAGAACCTTCATCCTTGAAGTGCTCCCATTTCTGAGTACATGAGATGTCCCAGGGGCTGGACTGAGCCCTTTCACTCATTGTCACCACAGTCTGGGAAGGGAGGTAGACCACATCTCACAGATGCTCGGTGACCCTCAGCTTACAAGTGGCAGAGCAAGCATTCAAACGCAGTCTGACCTGTGCTGTAGAGCAGCTCTAAAGTCACAGGAACTGTCTTGAATGTTAACTAGACAGCTTCTGCTCCCTCATGTTGGGCCAAGGCTTAAGTCAGCAGCTTGAGCAATAAATGGGTATGTGAACCAAAGGGGACTCCAGAAATGATGCCTCTGAGCTGTGAGGGAGTCGCTGTTCTAGGCAGAAGGGTTGGCCAGGCAGCACTGCGGGGAGGGAGGCGGGCAGGGTGTTTGCCTGACTTATCCTCACAAATAGAGTCAGATGCAGTTGCTGTTGGGAGGGACCTTCTGGTCTGTTCCTCCATGGGCGTAGAAACCCAGGCAGGCTGAGGGACCAGGCAGTGCTCACATTTGAGATATGCAGATATGGGTCTTCTAACATAGGGTGAGCTGCCTTGAGGGTCCCCAGAGCTGTCCAGATACTGGCTCAGTGTATTCCTAAGGATGCTCTGGGGTGACTGCTGCATAGGAGGAGCTCAGACCAATAGCTCTGGGGTCTTTTCTAATCCACAGTGTCTGTGGCCCTCAGGCTGGTTTAGGTTTCATTTATGCAGTGCTTTTATGGCCTGCTACTCAGGAAGTTCTCTTCATAATTTATGTGAATTATTTCATTTAATTCACTAAGCACTTATAAAAGAGTACGTATTATGTGCTAGAAGTTTAAGATCAGTGAACAAAACAAAATCCCCTACCCTCCTGCAGCTTACATTCTAACTGGTAAGGAACAATAAATGTAAGGTATGTGACTAGATAAAAATTCTAGGGAAAAAAGTAAGGGGAATTGGGAGTGTGGGTCCGGGGAAGTGATGGTGATGGTGTAGTTTTAACTCTGATGAACAAGGTGACGGATGGGTTGGACTGAGAAAGTGATATTTGAGAAAACTTAATGGAAGAGTGAGCCATGTTGCAGGGACAGTACAGATGTTCTGGGCAGAGTAAGCAGCCAGTGCAAAGGCCTTGAGGCACAAAGATCTAGGCAGCCTGCTGTTTTGAGGACCCAAAGGGGTGTGCCTGAGGCTGCTGCAGAGAATGAGGGTGAGGGTAACCACAGGGAGGGTCAGATGGGTAAGGGAACCCATTGTGCAGGTCACCAAAAGAACTCTGAGAGAAATGGTAATATAAAAGGAGCAACTTGTTTTTTCTTTTTTCTTTTTCTTTCTTTCTTTCTTTTTTTTTTACTTGTGATTAATGTGAGTCTTTGTCACTTACATGCCTGGAGAGAGGGGACAGGGAAGATGTAAGGTAACAGAGAGAGAGAGAGACAGACAGACAGACAGAGAGACAGAGAGAGGAGTGACCTTGGCTCCAGTGCAGCCCTGTTGGGGGCAGGAGGGGTGGCGGGGGCTGGGTGCTCCTTGTGCTGCACTGGACCTGCTGGGGCAGGTGTGGCAGGTGGGGGAGAGCATGGTCCCACTGAGGCTGAGGCTCTGGCTGCTGTGTGCTTACAGAACCAGTCTTCAGTACGGCATCATGTGTCTGAAGAGGCTGAACTATGATCGGAAGGAATTGGAGAAGAGGCGGGAGGAGAGCCAGCATGAGACCAAGGGTAAGCCCCTAGGGCCTGGCGGGCCGCTAGGAAGGGTGCCTCACGAGCAGAAAAGCAGGAGAGAGTGTCCTGAACCTCAGGAAACTCTGAGCACTAAAGGGAAGATGCATCCCCAGCCTCTGGGAGCTCCTGGCCTGATGAAGCAGACAGTGCCCAGGGCCAGCACAGTCATTCCTGTCTAAATCCCCTCCCAGACAGTGGCCACCAGCCAGAAAGGTGGGAGGAAGCCCAAGACAGCGCCTTCACTGGTGTGCTCATGGGCCTTGGTCTGGTAGGGTTGGATGGGAGAGATGCAGGTTTTAGAGGAGACTTTGAAGGTGAAAATAAGGGAAGGCCATTCTGGCCTGGGGAAGGGGACGACCTATGCAGGGATTCCGGGGAGTCTGTGGGCCTGACTGAGGCTGACGGATGGCAGGGATGGAGGAAGGAGGGGAAAGGTTAGAGAGGTGGAGGTGAGCAGGAGCCAGAGAGCAGGCTGATGGGCTCCAGGACCTCTGTTCCTACCCCTGGAGGCGCCTGGACCAAATTTGCTGTTTCTGCCCTTTCCTTCCTCTGCCCTCTAGATGTGCTGGTCTGGACCAACGACCAAGTGGTTCATTGGGTCCAGTCCATTGGGCTTCGGGACTACGCGGGCAACCTTCATGAGAGTGGTGTCCACGGTGCCCTGCTGGCCCTTGATGAGAACTTTGACCACAACACCCTGGCTTTGGTCCTGCAGATCCCCACACAGAACACCCAGGTCTGCAACATCAGACTCATGTACAGGCTCCACAATTTGCTGGTGTGTGTGTGTGAGTGGGGGGCTTTCTGGGCCATTGCTGCATTCTCAAACCTCCCGTGTGATGCCTGTGCAGAATAGCTAAAGCCCATAGGGAACACATGTGGCCACGTCATCTCCTCCCAACTCTGTGTTGTAGCTGAGACTCTGCCTTCCTTGGCTCTGACCTGCTTGACTGAGCAGAACATCAACTCCTTTGTCTGCCCCCTTAGGGATCTGCCCCTGGTCCCATGGGCCTCCACAAACTAATTATACTGTACAGCACAGTCCAGAGCCTCCTCATGCCAGGACTCTGTCTGCCTGTCAACAGGGCAAAAGATTAGGCATCTTCTTCAATTACATTTCATAATTATTATGGAGCTGTCATCCAAGAATATATCTAAATTCCCTTGAACCTATTTATACTTTTGGCCTTTCTAACTTCCTGTGGGTAATGGGATTCTACTAACAGTTGTGTAAAGTACTTCCTGATTTTATTTGTCCTACATATGCTCCTGCCAGGCTCCCCCTGAGGAGGGAGCTGCCTTCTCCTTAGAGCTGAAGTTTGGTAAGCCTGCTGCTATTTGACCAGTACTCACCTTTTGTGAAAACTGAATTTCACAAACTCTGATCCTGTTGTCCCTGGGCCTGAGCTTTTGTCACTCCAGTCAGAGTGGTCTTAATTCCTTTAGCCTTTCCTCATATAGACATGCCTCTGTCCCCTGATCAGTTTAGCTGCCCTTGTCTGGACTGTTTGCAGCTGCCAGGTTGCTTTTGAAACTCAGCCACCAGCGCTGCACAGGCTATTCTGGGAGCAGACACGCTTTGGCTCGAGTGAGGGGAGAGCTGTGTTGTCTCAAAGTTCTGGGTGGAGTGTTGGCCTTTGGGGTTCATGGCAGCCCAGTGTGTCCTTAGTGACCCTTTGGGACCAGTGACCTCTCCTAACCAATCAAAATGGATAGTGAAGATCCACACTTCTCTAATAAAATTTCTCCCAAACACACTCTACACTTGCTTTAGCTTCTACCTCATTTGTCATTTTCCTGGCTGCTTACACAGCTCTGCAAGGTGTTTCTGAAACTGATACCTATCCACTTAGCCTTTCCTTAGTCAGAGGAACAGTGTCATTGGACACTTGAATATTTATTACACTTCTCCTTTCAGGGTACTTGTAATAGTATTACTTTCTCAATACCGATAAAGACTATCCTTATTGAATGCTGTGATTATTATCTTCCACCCAGAAAAGGGCTTTTCTCTTTCGTTTACTTCCTATTTACTTTAAAAATGCATTCCTATTCTACTTTAAAATGAATGCACATTTTGTGGATAGCAGTAATCCTGTAAATTGTAGTAGGGAGGCAGCTCTGTTGTTTTCTCAGTGTTCATATTTTCCTGACATGTTTATTTCACTTAGCTCTCAAGGGAAGTGATATCTGACTCAGTATGGAATCCGTCATTTAATATGGTCACAATATTTGGTGACTGAAAGTTTGCAAATTTTCCTGTGTCTGGCTATTTTCTTTTTTTTTTTAAACTTTTTTTTAATCGGTACCGGGGATGATCGAACTCACGACCGCCTGCTTGTAAGGCAGGTACTTGTGCCGCTGAGCTAAATCCCCAGCCCCTGGCTATTTTCTTGATGAGTTAATTTCTGGAAAACCTAGAGAAAGGTTTTGTGTACCATGCAGCTCAGAGCCTCTGATAACCCTGACTGAGTGGTCTTCCTAATTTTAGTTCATGATGTGAAGCCTTGAAATGTATTTATTTAATCTGAGTAAGTTAAGTTCTGTTTGTTTATGGTCTGCATCCTTTTTTTCCCCACACCCTTCCAAAAGCAGGTGAGTCCGATTTTTCTCCAGTAGGTAAAGCCAATCCTTCATTTGTTCTATGAGCCTACTTTTTAAAAATATTACATTTTTTTCTAATTTTCTAAGCTTAACAGTTTCACTTTTAATAGGACCCTGAGATTTGTTAAAAGGAATAGCCTCAGGAAGGTGGTGAAGGTTTCGAATGGCCTAATGCACCAAAGTCCTGCCCCATCTGCCCTAGGACCCTGGGAAACGGGGAAAATGGTATAAAGGTCACTGACTGCACTTTCCTCTCTTACTGTGTGGACTCCAGGCCCGCCAGGTGATGGAGAGAGAGTTCAATAACCTTTTGGCCTTGGGCACAGACCGGAAGCTGGATGACGTAAGTACCTATTCATAAATCAAGGGTCTCAGAGATTTGGTCACTAAAGTTCACAAACTCTGCTTTCCTGGCTGATGACTGGTGTGCTGGCCCAAGGGAGACCAGGCGTAGCTGGGCTTGTCTTTGGGCAGCAGTAGGCTGTGGAGAAGACTCTATGAAACTCCTTTCTTTTTTTTTTTTTTTTTTCTTTTTTTTTTTTGGTCTTTTTCCTTTTTATCGGTACCGGGGATCGAACTCACAACTGCCTGCTTGCAAGGCAGGCGCTTATGCCGCTGAGCTAAATCCCCAGGCCCGAAACTCCTTTCTGGTATAAAAGCAGAAAGCTCTTCTGTGTTATACTCCTAGCATCTTCCTGCTCTATGCCTAGCACAACTTGCCACACAGGATCAAAGGTTTTTCCACAAAGACCGCATCATTGCTTTTCTTTCTTTCTTTCTTTCTTTTTTTTTTTTTTTGTCTTTTTCGTTTTTATCGGTACCAGGGATCGAACTCACGACTGCCTGCTTGCAAGGCAGGCCCTTATGCCGCTGAGCTAAACCCCCAAGACCACATCATTGGGAGAGCACCTTTGTTTTTAGCTGTCAGGCCGAACTAGCACATCTCTGTCCTGCCCAGTAAGCCTTGCCATTAATTTTATTAGGTCTGCCCTTGGAGTTAAAAGATACCCCTGACATCTGGAGCCACAGTACTCCTTTAGCGACGTTTGGCAAGCTCACTGGCTTCCTGAGGATGTGGCCCCTTCTCCCCTTGCCTCCTCTCTGCTTACGTTCCTATCACCAACCTTGCTTGCCCTTGCTGGTCAGGTCTGCTTCAGCTGATTTGGCTCCAAGCGAGTTAAAAAAGAACTGAACTCTTTATTTTTAGCTTTTCCGTCTTCAGTCAGATCATTGTTGCTTAGTTGGGTTTAACAGGGCTAAAAACAACTGGGTAGAATGATCGCTTTGCCTCAGTAGACAGGAAGGACACACTCAAGAATATGCATAATTCAGTGAGGTGTGTTTTCTTCACAGAGGTACCTGAATTGTGTGTGTGGGAATACAGATGGTATGTAAATGCCAACCAGGGAGATAAACGAATACCCCTCCAGCTGTCTCCACTCTCAAAGACCTCAATTTTCTTGGTGCTTCTGGGATAATGGCCTCACCAGTCAGGCCCCACATACCTAGAATTTTAACTTTTTTTGTTGCTTTCTGGAAAAATGACTCCTGTATACATTAGCATGGTGCTTTCTCTTATAAAAAAAAATTACTCCTCAATTCTTATAAAATACCCTTAGAATGCCTGTGCAAGGGATGGGCCAGGCATGGTGGCACAATGGTGACAGACATTTCACTTTATGCTCACTGTCACTTATGGACAGGTTATTATCCCCATTTTACAGGAAATTGTAGCTCAAAGAAGTATGTTACTACTGCCCCAGGGCTGATGTGTGGCAGAGTAGGTCTGGAGCAGACTGCCTCTGATTGCTGCATCCTCTCCTGTATCTCACTCCTCCCAGGAGCTCCGGAAGCTGGCTGGCCTGGGAGGCTTCAGACCTTGGGGTAGAACAATATAGTTAAGTTGGTGATACCACTGGATAGCACAGTGGGGTTTCTGGGATGCATCTGCAGTGGAGAGGGCAGCTGGAGAGGACTGGTTTTTCTTGTAGGATGCTTAGAGTGGAAACCAGGTCCTAGGAATGAGGTGAGACTGGTGAGGGGGGCAGTACAGGCAGAAATCTGAGGTTTAAGGAGGCGGCCCTGGTCCAGGCACCTAGCGCTTCATCAAAATCTTGAGCTGTCTCTTCTTAGACAGCTAGGCTTCCTGTCAGTTCTGGTTCCATTTCCTCTCACGGATCAGAAAGGCTTCATCCAGTTCTCCCTCTTGATGAAGATCAGGACCCAAGAGGGCAGGAGCAGAAAAAACATGCTGGTCACGCCACAGAGGACGAATAGAAACCAACCTAGAGGGCTGGCTGAAGGTGGAAAGGGGACTGAAAGAAACAGGTGTGAACTAGGTGATGGGAAAAACGAAGTTCCTGCTAAACATAGGAATGCACTCCTGTGTAGGGAGCTAACTGCTATCCATTCATTGAACAGATATTTATTGTCAGCAGTATTCCCAGACACTACTCAGGAGCTGAGGAGACAACAGTTAGAACAAAAAAGATCATAACCACAGCTTCTGGATCCTTGGAGGAGAGAGAGGAGACAGGAGGGAGGAGAGAGAGACAGACAGACAGACAAAGTGAAAGGGGTGAAGCGAGGGAGAGTATAAGGAGGAAAGGGCAGGAGAAAGTAATACTAATGAAATGATCTCCTCGGTCCATGTAACAATTCTACTAGGATGGAAACTATGACAGAGAGGTATCTGCTACTAAGAATTGATTGGAGTCAGTGCCCTCCACAGGGCACAAACAACAAATCCCAAGGGAGTGGGGCCAGGAGGGCAACAGTGTCCCTGTTCACCCTGGTACCACTCTGCCTGCAGCTTGCAGCCCTTGAACACAGTGATGGACGGGAGCATGGCTGCAAAGCAGGTGGATGTGGATCAAAAGGGTGGGGCAGGGAGAGGGACACATCCTGTAGGGTTGGGGCTCTGCCTGCCTGTTGGCAAGCTAGTTAGAGAGCAAGCCGGCATAGTGAAATGGTAGATGGAAGGAGGCAGCTTGCCATGTCCTTTGGAGGAGTGTGTTTCTGGTTATCTGCCTGCACGGTCTCTGTTACATCGGATCCCCTGGGGTAGGTAGCCTAAGAACATGTAGGGCAGATATTGTATCTCCATGTCACAGATGAGGACCCTGAAGGTCTTAAGGTCCCGTGCTAGAACACCGCCAAGCCAGAATTGGAAGCCAGGGGGACTAGTGGGTGATCCTGTGGAGAGACTCAGAAGAGGAATAGCTTGAAAGATCGATGGGCAACCTGAGCTCAGTTTGAGAAGATTGGGGTGAGCAGGGAAGCAGGGTTTGACTGCTGGATGACAGATCTGAACATACGACCTCCCCAACCCTAGGTAGAGGCAGCCATCCACATCAGGCTGATTCACTCAAAAGGGGAAAAACTGCGGGCTCCAGAGGAAGGGCGACCTCGTTCGCTTCATTCCAAAGGGGTAGCGGGGAGCTGTACCCTAACCGGCTGCAGCCGCCCTCCCCAGGCTGGGAGCAAGGGCAGCAATTCTAACCACCCTTCGTTGCCCTCCTTGCTGCAGGGGGAGGACAAGGTGTTCCGGCGCGCGCCCTCCTGGAGGAAACGCTTCCGGCCGCGGGACCACCACAGCAGCGGCCTGCTCGGCGCCTCGGCCGAGACCCTGCCGGCCGCCTTCCGCGTGTCCACCCTGGGGCCCCTGCAGCCCCCCGCGGCCCCGCCCAAGAAGATGCTGCCCGAAGGTGAGTGGCGGGCGGGCCGAGCACGGCCGAGGCCCGCGGGCGCTGACTCCTGGCCGGGCGCGGGGAGAGGCGAGGCTGGCGGCTGGCGCCGCGCGCTGCCGGGCTGTGGCTGCACTAACGCTGCGGTGGGGCGGGGGCGCTGCCGGCCAGGCCCCGCGGCCCGAGCGTGTGCGCGCACTAACCCGCCGCTCTGTGTGTTCTCCCGCGGCTGCCGATTCCTGCCAGCCGGGACGGCGGGGGCGCAGAGACTGGAGACCTCCACGGTTCGGACCTACTCCTGCTGACCCCCCTGCCTCCCGCCCGCCCCGGGTCCGTCGGGGTGTGCCCCCGGCTCGGGGTAAGTGGCCAGGCCCTGGGACGCCGGCCTCTGCCGCCGGCCGGCCCTGCAGCCCCGCCCCGCTCGCGCCAGTCCTGCCCGGCTGCCCTGCGCGCTTCCAGCGGCCCGGGGCGCTTTGCGCTTGGGAGCCTGTTGCAGCCCCCCTGCCACCGCGCCGCCGTCTGGGGACTGGCTCTGACTCCGCGTCCCCTGTCTCTGTCTCTTCTCTCTTAGCTCACTCCCACTATCTCTACGGACACATGCTCTCCGCCTTCCGGGACTAGCCATGGCCCTCAGGGCTGGCGTCTACCTGGTTTCACAGGCCCAGCCGGCCCTGACCTTTCCTGCTCGGTCCCTTATCTCCCGCGACTCCTAGTCTCGTCTGTGACTTTCCAGTTGCCCTGGATCTCAAGAATATACTCATCCAGCCCCTCGGCATCCTAGTACCCCGACTCCCACTGCGTGTCCTTTGTAAGTCTCCTGGATGTGGCCGGGGTCTCCCGCTGTAGTGTAGGTGCCCTGGTTGCCCATGCTTGGGATTCTCCGGGAGGGAGGAAGGGCAGCCCAGGGTGGGTATGATGCCACCCAGGCTCTTCTGGACCTATTTCGGGCTGGACTTCACCCTCCTCCAAGGTCAGGATACTGGGCCAAGGACCGAGATGGTGCATCCAGGAAAGGGGCACTGCAGACTCTGTTCTGCTTGAGTTATGCTGCCTCGTGGTCCCTGGCCACTCTGGTTCTTGTACCAGGTGGTCTGAGGTTGATTTTGACACCTCCAACATCATACTTCCTCTAAACCATCACCACAAGTTGAAAATCCTGCCTTTAGGACTTGCTTGGGGGCTGAAGAGATGTAGGAGATCACATTTTTTCTCATAATGGCGAGGCCAGGAGAAGAGCTAAAGTAGAAATTCGGGAACTGAGCTTACACTGAATCCTAAATGTGAGTTTAGGAAGAGTCAAGAGGAGATGAACCTCAGAGCAATAGGCCAGGGTGACAGAGGGTGGGGAAACTCTCAGCCCTTGCTTGGTGAGAAGTGTAAGCAAGCAGGAGGGAGGGCTGATGGCCTCTGGTAGCCTGAAGCCCAAAGGGCGGTTGGAATGCCCCCACCCTGGAGGGATCTCAGCCCCAGAGGCAGAACAGATCTAACTGTGCTGCTAACTCTACCACCAGCAATCTTTTCCTGCTGTCCCACTCACTCCCTAATCTCAGCCTTATGAGAGTAAACCTCATGGGAGGACTGAATATGTGTTGACCCTAAAATCAGGTTTGGGAAAGAGGCAGTCTGGAATTTCCTTCCTATGACCTGCCAGGGAGAAAATAAAGCTTCCTTTTCATTGAATCACGTCCCTGATTCAGGAAATCCAGTATTGAAGGCAGTTATACCTCCTTATCTTCAAATCATCCAGCCCTTGACTGGGTTGTCCTGGGACTGCTTTCTCTCTAGAAATTCCTCAGACCCACCCAGCTTCCGTCACTTTAATCTCTCCCTAGCAGCAAGGTAGGAACTGGGTTAGAGGGATGCAGGTGCTGGTTGGGAGGACTGTTATTCCCAAGAAATTCCTCTTCTTCACCTATTCTTCTAATTTAATAGGGGGCTTAAAAATGTTTGGGAGGATGATGGGACATTGGGCTTCCTTGGAGAGGAGAGGAAAAGCATCAGGCACGTTTATTGGAAAAGGTCCAGCACAATGCCATCCTACAGGTGGCTGGAGCAGCTGGTTTGTGACCTGATCCATTTGGGTTGAGCAAGGGCTGGACTAGCAGGTGGGGCAGTAGGCCAAAGCACCCGTCCAGAGGAGGGATAGAGAGCTGTGCCATGTCTTAGAGCCTGTTGCTGCTACCTGCTAGAAGAGAGCCCAGTAGGGTATGTAGGTAGACTCTTGCCTGGGCTGGGGCAGGCAGCCACCTGCCCTTGCTCTTGTTCCTTGTTTACTGCCCTTCCTGTCAGGCCATTGGGAATGACAGTAGAAAATTATTGAGCAGAAAATGAATTGGATAGAGAGAAAGAGCCCAATGTCAGGGAAATGAATGCTGAAATTAGAGAGAAAGTCCAGGTTCCTAAGATTGGTGGAGTTCAGCACTAAAAGGCCATCTGACTGCTTCAGGGGACTGCCTGTCCATGGGGTAGGCATAAAGGACGGTCAGCCCCAGCTTGTCCTCCCTACAACAGCCATGTCGTAATGCAGCAAGTTGGGGGAGCCAGGTCCATCCAGGGCCCCTTGGGAAGGACTGCAGTGAGGGGACGGAGGAGAGGAAACTGCACAGTGATGGATGGCTGTTGTCTCGGTGTACCCTTGCCTCATAGTTGATGCATTTTCTTTGGAGAGTCACAGTGACCCAAGCCCTCCTCGCCAGCCTCCATGTCTCCCCAGTTCTTCTCTGTACTGTATTGGCTCAGTGCATTGGAGCAGGTGTGTGGATGCGTGTGGGGTGTGAGTGTGGGTGTGTACATACCAATAAACAACCTGGTTTTAAGACAACATACAAATGGCCTCTGTTCTTTTTTTCTTTCTTTCTGTTTTGACTTGGGCTTACCTGACACATGCAGCTTAGTTCATAATCCCAAGGGCTGCGGTGCTCTGGGAGGAAGTATCGGCGTTCTGAAAGTGTAGTCAATAACTGTCTGTTTCCTTATATAACCACAGGATTGATGAGGAGGACAGTGTTTGGGTCACCTGCGCAAAGGGAGTTGAGGACAAGATGAAGGGGTGGGGAGCCCGGCTGCTGGCCCTGATTGATCTCCTCCTTCATCTCTCCTCCCCTTCCCAGGCTACTCCATTTGTCACTGCTCCCGCAGTTCCTGCTGCTAAGCCTCCTCTGTGTGTCACACTGCTGTCCAACCCCCTGCAGATTGAGATCTGCCTCCTCCTCCAGGTGGCCCTCAATGTCATATGACTTGGCTTCTGTCCCTCTCTCCTCTTGCAGTCTAGAGAAACCATTGGTCCCTCCAGCCCCCTCTCCAGAAGGGAGAGGTACTACTTTCCTTGCTTTTGTAACTTTGAACCTTGAAGACCCACATCAAGCTTGAGCCGGAGGCAGTGCCCGCTCCCCAGCAGTTAGTTAACTAACAGCCTTAGGCCCTGGAGCTTTCTCAGCTCTCAAATGCCGTATGCTTGTTGACGTCATTCTGTGTCCCACACTGAGCTTCGAGGATGCTCTATCAGGTTAGCGCCTTTCATCTCTACATCTCTAGATGTGCACACTTGACTGAACGAACCAACCTTATGTTAGAGCATTGTGAAGAAAATTAAATTAATAAAAGATGAAAATTATTGAGTGCAGTTACTTAGAACAGTGCCAGACATCGTTCTAAGCATTCTGCTTCAGTCTTTTCCTGCTGCTATAACCAATACCTTAGGCAGAGTAATTTATAAATAGCTCAAATGTGTTGCTCACTATCCTGAGACTAAGTCCAAGATCACAGTACCAGCAGATTCAGTGTCTGCTAAAGGCTCGCTTGTCAGAAAAGGCACTTTCTCAGTATGTTCCTGTGTGGAAGAAGCAGAAGCGTGAAAGGCATGTGGGGCTTTCACTTTGTGAGAGCACTAATCCCATGAATGAGGGTGGAACAGTGGAAAGTAGGCTGAGGCCTGGTCCCACTGCCAAGAGCTTGGGCATAGCAAGCTAGGGGCCAAGGCCAGGCCCCATCTGTAGTCTCAGTCTAGCAAACACAGCACTAATCACAATCACAAGTGATTGTGACCTAATCACTTCCTAATGACCTGTCTGGTGGTGCTTTTGCTTTGGGGAGTAAGTTTCAACATGAATTTTAGGGAGGGGCAAACATTCAAACCTTAGCATACACTAAATGTTATAACTTATTTGATCTTCAGAACCTGGTAATGTGTTAACATTGCCACTTTATAGAGCGGAAAATTATAAAGCTAAGATCACACACACAGCTGGTAAGAGAGAGATGTGGTTCTCAAGCCTCATCCTGCCTGTATCTGGCGGTGCCTTGTTCTTGGTGACTACAGCATGAATGTTAAAGTTCTGAGCCAGCACACACGGCTTACTTCCCCTCTATGTGAACTCAAGCCTTCCATAGCTCTTTCCCCAGCTTCTTTGTCTGAACCATCTGGGTGGCCCTTGGCTCCTGTGAATAGTCTCAGGGCTATGTTTGTCCTGCTCATCTAAATGGCAAACCCCCATTCATGCCACACATTATGTGTCCTGTATCCTCTCCATGAAGCAAGGATGGCTGAGTCCACAGACACAGGTGGCGGAGGGGAGCAAGGCACGACAGCCGACACAGAGCTCAGGAAAGGCAAGTGGAGGTGAGGGAAGGTCCTGGGCTAGTACCTGCGAACCACTTGCGAGCTCCTCCCACTCTCTCTATGATCAGGGGTAGAATTGGTGTGCTTGGTGACCAGTAGGCCACAAGAATATGCTCTGAAGGGCTCTAGGAAGACCAGGACTTGCCAGAGTTGCATGCCCTGGGATGGGGATACAGAAGGAGCAGGCTTAGGCAAAAATGTGTGCTTGATGATATACATGCTTGGCTTGAGACAAGAACTCAGCATCAGTAGAAAAGAAAAAAAATGAATGTTGGTTTCTTTTCTAGAGCCTTGTCATCTGCTTCCTCTAGGAGTGTTCTGATGTGAGAGCCAGGTGATTGCTGATGGCTGAGGGGGAACACGGGTAAGGCCCAGCCAGAATTACCAGGAGGTGGTGATGTGGTTTCCCTCTCAGGTCTGGGCTCAGCTTTTTTTGCCAAGATTGCACTGAACTTGGAATCTTCTAGTCTTCATTTTGAGCTTCAGTTTAACTTGAGGCTTCTGCATCATGGCCTGGAGCCCAGAAGCCAGGAATTCAGAGAAGCATGAGACACAACATGTTGGAGGTGCTGTTTGTCAGATGCTAGAGTTGAGAAGACTCCTGCCTTTCCACCCGCCATCTCCTCCTCCAGTTGCTCTAATCACTTACTATACTTACAGCCTTAAAAAGGGTTTCCAACCTGTCGAATAAATTACTGGGAGAAGTTAGATACTTCAGAACATTTATTAATGCACAAATAGTACTCTAAATATCCTGCAAGTCAGGCTAATTATCTAAACACTCTTAGGAAGTTCCTATTTTCACATTAACAATTGCTGTGCCAGTTTTAAGTCATTTTTTCATTCTAGAAGGTTCCCTAAAGTCCATTTTAGACATTTGATTAATCCAGTTTGATTTATTGTAGGTGCTTCTCCTAAAGAAGGAATTTAACCTCACTGTCATAAAGAATTCAGCCTCATTATTCATTAGGTGGTCTTATCTGTAATTCTATTGTGAAGGTTAAGGATTTGTTAATTTAAGAAGGTTCCTGTGCTTTGGTGAAAGTTGTTTATTCTGTGGAAATGATGAGTGAATCTGGGTCCCTGCCTGGCCTGAGTTTGCCATTCAGACCTATGTAATTTCCAGAATTATTTCCAGAAGAGAATTATTTCTCTTCTGGAACTTAAAGGCTGTGTGACCCAGTAGGTAACAAGGACATCTGACAGTGGCTGAGGACTTCTTAACTGTAATAACTCTTGCTAAGGGCTGTCATTGTTTCCTGGGTATGAATATGAATCTCAGTTTCCAACTGTCTTGATAATCAAAGGGGACTTGAAAAATAGATCCAGCAACCTCAGTGGACAAGGGGACAAGGGACAGGTAGGTCACCACTAAATCAGTGGTGTTGTATCCATCCTCTGAACTTGGGAAGTGCCATGGGCAGAGGAATGAATCCACAGAGAAAAGACTACTTCTTGAATGTGTGATTCAGTATGTTTAGTGAATAAAAAGTGAGTGAATCTAGACTCTAGATGCAAGACATGACAGCCAACTCTGTTGCCTTTCTTACCCCAAGGGCAGTGAGTTAATGGTTAAGAGTCATGACAGAGACCTTTCTATCTGTCTCCAACCTAAGGAGGGAAGATTGTAAACTTAGTGACACAAACTCAAAAAGAAGAAAATCTAACAAGCTAGGGAGAAGTAGACCAATTTGTGATTCTCAGTAGGACAAGCCCTGACTGTTACTTGGGGCAAGCAGGCCTTGGGGAAACCCAGCCTCCTAAAACCTTACCCAAGGTAAGGTTGTGATATATCGCTGAGGTTCCCTTCCTATAGTCTTCTGCAAGCGGAATTTCTGGAGGACCTAGGGCAAGGTGTTAACATCCCCAGGAGCAAGGCCAGGAGGGCAGTGTAGGGAGATCCTCAGAACAAGTACAGCTTAGTCACCAGCTCCTGAAGGGTAAAACTGGGCTGGGTCAGTTGTCAAGGCCCTCAAAGAACAGAATGAGGGATGGAATGCACCATGCTCTGAATTCTAATTCTTCAGTAATGATTCTGAAACCCACATATTGCAGTAAGTCAGGCAAACTTAGCCCTAAGCAGTTAGAATTAGTGAAGTTTTTAAGTAGGTGTCCATTTCAGTTTCACTCCTTGGTTAAGCCTTATGTAACCTCCATCCAAAATCTTTATTCTGGATTTCTCGATGACCTTCTCCCCTTAGGAAGTCAGTCCTAAAACAGCAACCCATGATGAGAATCCCAGCTTGTGTTTGATGGCTCTTTGTGAGCCCTGCCATCTCCCCTAGTGAGTCTCCTTCATCTGTGGGCTGTAGGCAGGGGCAAGAACTTCCCCCTGCCATGGAGAGAAGGAAGAGAATGGGAGGGGATGTGAGGAAATGACAGTATCTAACCCTATTCTGATGCAATCCCTCCCAGTTCTCTGCAGGGCTTCTAGTAATATGGAACCAGGAGAAAACCAGGAATAGTGAGAAGAGCCCTATCAATACCAGCTCTACATCCTGACCCAGGGAGTGGGCTGAACATAGGGCATCTAGGTATGCTCAGGGAATTGGAGGCCAGTGGACCTATGGGTGATAAGTTGGAGTGCAGCAGATTGTGAACAGTGTGAATTAATGTGCAATGGAGTACTTGGCAGGCCTTCCTCTGTGTCCTATAGGACTTCTGTGGAATCCAGGTCATGTATCAGACCCACTTTGACTCCATTATAATGATCCAAAGAGCAGGATTCCCCAGTGCCTGGTCACTGTCACAAGGTGATGCCTGTGGTTCTTCTGGAGCCCATCCCATGCCAATCCTTAGAATTCTTGGAAGCCCTGTCCCTGTAGTGTGTCTGGACCTTCAGTAGGAAAAGTCTGAGCTGTCACTCATTCTATATATGAAAGGTTTGGCCCAGACAGGACACTGTAGCCAGGAAAGCCACAACTGGAAGCAGGAAGCCCCATCTTGCCCTGCCCCTAGGAAGTTACCTGTGACGCCATCTTCCCGCCCCTGGGAATTTACATATGGCGCCAAACCTAGGACCAATGGGCTACCTGTGTATCCCTAATGCCCGCCTTAGGTTCCACCCCAAACCGAGGTTATTTACAGGCCCCCACGCCACGTGTCCGCCGGAGAGATCGCCTGACGCCAGCGGTGGGGTTGCGGGTCATCTCTCTCCGTGTTCTCAGAATAAAGGCCGCTTTTTATTTTATATTTCTCATCTTTTGTTAAT